TTATTTTTCCTTCACTTCTGAAGCTCAGTTTGGCTGGATATGAAATTCTGGGTTGAAAGTTCTTTTCTTTAAGGATGTTGAATATCGGCCCCCACTCTCTTCTGGCTTGTAGTGTTTCTGCCGAGAGATCTGCTGTGAGTCTGATGGGCTTCCCTTTGTGGGTGCCCCGACCTTTCTCTCTGGCTTCCCTTAGTATTTTCTCCTTTATTTCAACCTTGTTGAATCTGACGATTATGTGCCTTGGGGTTGCTCTTCTTGTGGAATATCTTTGTGGTGTTCTCTGTATTTCCTGCAATAGAGTGTTGGCCTGTCTTGCTAGGTGAGGGAAATTTTCCTGGATAATGTCCTGAAGAGTATTTTCCAGCTTGGATTCATTCTCTTCGTCGCATTCTGGTACACTTATCAAACGTAGGTTAGGTCTCTTCACATAGTCCCACATTTCTTGGAGACTTTGTTCATTCCTTTTTGTGCTTTTCTTTCTGATCTTGGTTTCTCATTTTATTTCATTGAGTTGATCTTCGACTTCTGATATTCTTTCTTCTGCTTGGTCAATTCGGCTATTGAAACTTGTGCATGCTTCACGAAGTTCTTGTATTTTGTTTTTAGGCTTCTTTTATTCATATTCTTTTCTAAGTTATCCATTCTTGTTATCATTTCCTCGAATCTTTTTTTATATCTTTTTTCAAGGTTCTTAGTTTCTTTGCATTGATTTAAAACATGTTCTTTTAGCTCACAAAAGTTTCTCATTATCCACCTTCTGAAGTCTAATCCCTTGATTTCGTCACAGTCATTCTCCGTCCAGCTTTGTTCCCTTGCTGGTGAGGAGTTTTGGTCCTTTCTAGGAGGTGAGGTGTTCTCTTTTTGGGTGTTTTCCTCCTTTTTGCATTGGTTTCTTCCCATCTTTGTGGATTTATCCACCTGTTGTCTGTGTAGTTGCTGACTTTTCGATTGGGTCTCTGAATGGACACCCAGATTGTTGATGATGAAGTATTTCTGTTACTTGGTTTTCCTTCTACCAGTCTAGCCCCTTTACTGTACAACTGCTGAGGTCCGTTCCAGGCCCTGCTTGTCTGGGGTGCACCTATAGCAGCTGCGGAACAGTGAGGGATGCTACCAGTTTCTTTTTCTGCTATCTTTGTCCCAGAATGATGCCTGACAAATGTCAGTCTTTTGGATATAGAGGGGTCAGGGAGCAGCTTGAGGAGACAGTCTGTACTTTATAGGAGCTCAATTGCTGAGCTGTGAGCTCTGTTGTTCATTCAGGGCTGTTAGGCTGCTATGTTTAATTCTGCTTCAACAGAACTCATAAGAAAACCCTTTTTTTCTCAGATGTTCTGTCTGGGGGGGTTGGGGCTTTATTTTTGAGTGTCTGTTGTGCTGTCCTGCCCAGTTAGGAGGCAGTCTAGTCACTATTTGCCTGCCGAGGCTCTGCCCTGCTGGTGTGAGGTTTGCCCTGTTGCTGCAGGCTTTGCCCTTCTGCTGTGGTCTCCGCCCTGCTGCCACGGGCTACGCCCTGTGGCAGAGTCTCTCTGTTGTACCGGGTTGCCTCGGCAATGGCAGGCTGCGTCTGCAATGGGTGTGTACCTCAGTAGGGGCTGATTGCCTTTGTAACGGCGGACGCCCCTCCGCCACGGAGCTGTGCTTTCAGGGAACCACTCCACTGGGAGCGTTTGGAATCACCGTTTTGTTTGTTGCACTGCGCTACCCCAAACGCTGTGTCCCTGGAATATCCTGGGCTGGCTCACTGTCCAAGTCCCATTCAGTCTCAAGTTCAGCCCTCTCAAGTCTCAGGTGGCCAGTTCAACAGGGCACCCAGACCAGTGCGCTTTGTGCGGAGCGCTGTGGAGCGCCGCTGCACTACAGTGCGGGCCACTGCCACACCGGCTGCCGGCTACACCAGCCAAAACCTCTGCGTGGCATCCCGCGTCTCTTTTATACCTGGGAATTTCCCCGTTCTGTGGGCAACAAAATCCGTCTGGAAATGTGGCCCTGACTCACCTTGTCCATGCATCCGCCAAGAGCTTCAATCCTGGGTTGTTCTCACAGTGCCATCTTGAGTCCTCTCCCAAATACGTTGATTTTTAAGGAAACTTTTGTGATGACTGTAAATGCGAAAAAGAATACAGCACCTCTTAGTCTATAATAAATTGTAATAAATGAATAACATTAAAATAATCCCACCATGTATCACCTAAAGTCATCCCACGTACTTCTAGAAGTGTGTAGTACACAATGAAAGTTATAAAATGAATTCTTGTCATACTCTTCCATGTTTTTTCTCTAAGGAATAATCATAGCAAAGGCTATGGTACATTTACTATGAATGAGGCATCACTATATTGCATAGACATTATGTACATATAATTCCATACACATTAATATAGGTACATTAGTTACATAGATTAACTCATTTAATCACTGTAAAACATCCTACAAGGAAGGTATTATCATATCCCAATGTTACACATTAGGAAGCTGAAGCACAGAGAGTTTAGATGACTGTCCAAGGTGAGTGGTAAAGCCCGGATGAACTCCAGACAGTCGGGCTCATGCATCTGGGCCCTTCTTCACTGTGCTTCATCACCACAATGGCAACTCCTGTTGAAACTGAAAATGCATACAATACTAGGGTCCCTTCAGGATGCCTAAACTTTGGAAAACCTTAGAAGCTACCTCATAGAAACAAAATCCATATAAATAAGAGTATAAATTTGTGGTAAACTTACAGCCTTAGTCACCTTTGTAGCAAAAATAGTTAATCTCCACTAGTAGGTGAATGACAGAATAAATTCGGTTATACATATGCCATGGAATATTAGTCTTTAAAGAGAATGAATACAAATTATACCAGAAACTTCAAGAGATTTTCATTGGTATCATTGTAGAAGAAAAGAAAAATGCAAACAAAACATGTATAATACTCTCCTTTTTTAGAAAGTTTACATTGAAAGTATCCTTTCTACTGCCAGCCATTGGGGTTTTAAGCCTTCAAAGTGTCTACGCATCTAGTAAAGTGTGAAGGGATAGCTGTTTAGTTTGTATTTCCCACTGCTGGTGAATATGAACAAGGTCCCATATACCAGCTTGCCATTTGTATTTGTTCTGAGAATAAGCCTTTGCAAATTTTTACTTGTTTATTAATCTTCTCTGTTTAATTTATAAGAGTTTTGTTTTTCTTCTTCATCTCTTTGTGTGGCTTCTTCTTTGCAATGCTCCCAAGCCACTAATGTTTTGTTTGTCTTTTGGCTTGGTTATAATTTTTTTTATAACAACATTTTTTTACGGTGTAGTCAAATATACTTATCATTAAAAAAAAAAAAAAAAAAGCTGCTGGATCTTTTTTTCCAGTCTCAAGTCAAAAGTGGGAAAAGTAGGAAAACCAAATAGACCCAAATAAAACCTTGACTAGAAGAACCTAAAATTTTAGGTTCTGAGTCTCCTAGCAAGACTCGAACCTTAAATTATTCCCCATGTGTGCCATGGCCTGACCTTCCCTATAAGACATCATTAAATCTCTCCAGACAACAGGACTGGAGACATTCCTATTTAAGTGTTTTATACCCCAGTTTTGTGCTTCACACGTTCACTCCTCCTGTCTATTAACCATCCCATGCAGGCACTGGGAGGGCTTTAGGGCTGGAAGGTGAGGAGAAAAAATGGTGGCAGAAGGAGTTGAGTTATGTGAGTGTACTGATGGCATAGCAACTCCTTGTATTTATTATCCTAATTAGCTGGTATTAGATTATATTTAAAGCTTAAATCTTCATTATGTTCTATTACAATGGTGAGTTTTAAAAATCCAGAATGTCTTTGAGTCAAGATAGATTGCTAATTTGGCTTTCCTGCCCCTTATTTGGTCTGTTTGCCTGATTTTTCCTGTTTTTTGAACTCAGTGCTGTATTTAATGGGCTTGTCAAACCAACATTTAATTTAACGTGTCTCATGAAGATCCCCTGCAACCTCACAAAGTAGTGGAAGGATGACTGTTTCTCAGGTTTCCCTCTGTGTATGCTATTTCCAGTCCACTCCCCTGCAAACCCACCTCTCTCCAGCTGTTCCCAGATACACAATTGCCTTTGACTTCTTTCCCCTTCACCCTAACACAATTTAGGCATAAATTCAAATGCACTCTACAAAGGCATCTGCTATAGCTGTCTCCTCCTTCAATCTTGTCTGCCCATGGACCCTAGACTTCACCTTCATCTTCCTTGGCCTGAGTGATCATAATGGAATCAGCACCAAGCCCATCCTGCCAAAGTTGCCTTTCCAGAGCATGTCTTTTGCTGTCCCCCATTGAAGAAGCACCGGCATTTAGAGGATAAAATCCTTGGTGTGGTACCCAACGCCTTTGTTTTCTGTTCCAAAACTACTTTTGCCACCTTATCCTCATTGACTATTCACATAAATGATTGGCAATGCCCTTGTGGGAGGCATGTTTGGTAGCTGTGTGAACCGGGGAAGAAACTCACGCCCCTCTTTCTCCCATCACATAGTTCTTTCTGGGGCTGCATTGCCCTCCTGCTGCCCAAAATGTGCTTCTCTCTTTCTCTAAGAGCCTAAGTCTTTGTCATCATTTAAAGCCCAATTCAAGCGTTATCTCCTCTCTGAAACTTCCCTGAGGATCATAGTAAAATGAATACCCCCTTTTTTGATGCCCCTTTGTACTTTTTAATACCCTGATTCTAACATTTGCATTTATCTTAGTGAATTGAGGTTCTGCTGTCTCTTGACTAATTCCATGTTTTTGAAGATAGGGCCAGCATCACAGTCATCTTTGTAACTTTTGCCCATAGTAGATTGAGAGTAATTCCCCAATATGTATTTGCAGAAAGAAGGAAGGGAGAATGGAAGGAAAGAAGGAAGGCAGGCATGGAGGGAGGGAGCATGAGAAGGGAAGGGAAGGGGAAGGGAGGGAAGGGAAGAGAAGAAGGGAAGGGAAGGGAAGAAGGAAAGGATGGAGGGAGGGAGGGAAAGAAGAAAGGAAGGAAGAAAGGAAGGAAAGAAGGAAGGAAGGACGGAAGCAAGGAAGGAGAAAATTGATGCTAACCTTAAACAATACTTCCCTGGACTACACTTAGCTTGTTTGTGTTTTGTTTTCTTGCTTTGTTTTGCTTGTTTATTTGCTTATTCATTTTGAGTCATATAATAGCACTTTTGGCCAGGCACAATGGCTGATGCCTATAATCTCAGCACTTTGGGAGGCTGAGGCAGGCGAGTCACAAGGTCAAGAGATCGAGACCATCCTGCCCAACATAGTAAAACCCCATTTCTACTAAAATGCAAAAATTAGCTGGGGGTGGTGGCGCACAGCTGTAGCCTCAGCTACTCGGGAGGCTAAGGCAGGAGAATTGCTTGAAGCCAGGAGGTGGAGGTTGCAGTGAGCCGAGATAGTGCTACTACACTCCAGCATGGTGCCTGGTGAAAGAGCGAGACTCTGTCTCAAAAAAAAAAAGCACTTTTAAACTGGCTGTGAAAAGGCTGCTTACAAGATTTGTTAAGAAGATTTAAAATGTGACTCGCAGGCCAGGTGTAGTGGCTTATGCCTATAATCCCAGCACTTCGGGAGGCCAAGGTGGATGGATTACTTGAGGTCAAAAGTTCGAGACAAGCCTGGCCAACATGGTGAAACCTCATCTCTACTAAAAACACAAAAATTAGCCAAGTGTAGTGGTGTAATCCCAGTCTGTAATACCAGTTGCTTGGGAGGCTGAGGCAGGAGAATCACTTGAACCTGGAAAGCAGAGGTTGCAGTGAGCCACATTTACACCACTGCACTCCAGCCTGGATGACAGAGCAAGACTCCATCTCAAAATAAAATATAAAATAAAATAAAATATGACTTGCACTGGCTGTATGGAACACATAGGAAGACCCCAGAAGAGTACTCAACATTAATCACATGGTCATTTGTATTTTTATTAATTACAGTTCTGATTCAAGGCATGGATTACTGTATAAAAGAAAAAGATCCTTTCTATAGTCGAACCTGGGAATCACATAATCTGGGTTTCTTTTATTGTGCTTATGGGGAAATTGACCATAACCCTCCTACATTTTCCTCTACTTTGACAGCAGGATGAAGTTCAAGGGAAAAAAAATAAAAGCCCAAATTGCTGTCATGCTCAAACTGGGAGCACCAGGAAATGGACAGAAATCAGACTAGAGGCTTTATGGAGCAAAGCCCAATAGCTAATATAAGATTCCTAAAAGAACATAGCCAGAGTTGAAAAGCTTTGGGGAGACACTGGAAACCATCTGAACTAAGAGAGTTAATCAGAAATGGGACCTCCAGAGGTTTCCCATCTCCAGCTAAGCACTGCAGCACCTGATCAGGTGACTTTGGTTGCTGATGGGTGACAGCTTAATTTACAAGAATGCCAAGCAAGAGAAATTTGAAAATAAACCAAATATACACTTTATAAGGAGAGGGAAATGTGATTCTGCACTCTCTAGCATACTTTACCCGAAGCTTCATCAACCCCATAATAAGATGATACCTTACCTGGATGAAACGTTAATATTAAATATTATGAGAAATTTGCTGGAGATTGTGCTGTACATATTTCTGGTCTAACTTGTCTCTCCTATTTTAATAAAGAATATGTATGTATGTGCACATATATTTTAGAAATTTCCATTAGGAATTAATTCTGATATCTTAATAGATTAACCTTGCTGGTATCTAACATAATTTATTTTAAAAATTAAATTCCTACTACAGCAAAGATTTTAATGGGTAATCTTTTTCTGGTATCCCTCTGGAAATCTCCATGCCTGAGGCTGCACTATTCCTAAAGGCCCGCTCCCCCGTGGACTCTGGTGGGAAGCCCTCCTGCACAACAGCTGTGAAATCAGACCAGCATTTCTAAGTAGAATCTCTCAGACAAAGGATGGGACTGTCATCTACTACAGCATTTTGCAATGCCTGAAATATCTTAGTCTTTTGACACCATTAGCCTTTTCACCCTTTTCCTATCCTTCCTCTCTGGGCAACCAAGAGGCATTTCACGAGTGTAGGATGACAGGCAAACATCTGCCTTCATGTTGAGGAGGCTCAAAAGACCAAGAACTTAGCATGTCCGAATTCCGGGTGCATTCTCAGAGATAGGATTTCAGCAACTCTTTGACATTGACTTTTCTGATGAATTGTGATTCCAACAATCATGTTACCTGCTCTACACAAACCTTCTAAGACAACTTTGCCAGGTCTGCACTCTGCCCCCACAAAAAAGAACACAAACAAATGAAAAACTAGATCGGGTTCTTCTACACACTTGAGGAGGGTAAAGGAAGGCATCTTTTATCTGCCATTTCCCATCTCACAGAGAACCTGTGATTCTTTTTATTTCCAGAAAATAATTGTTGGCTAGAATTCTATCCCCTACATGATTGGCTCCATTTCAGCACCATTTCTAGATACCTGCCTGCTTGGGGCACTAAGGCTACTGCTCTGTCCCCAGTCCTGCCATATGATCTTCTTTTTCTGTTCTATAAAGTGGCTCCAATTCTAATTCAGAGGGTCTCAAACAATCACTATTAAGAGGTTTCTGCTGCAGCCCACTCTCATGAAACATGTTTTCAGTACCCTTGAAAGTGCCTGCCTTTGGTGAGGAATTTCTTTTTCCAATAATCTTTTAACTATAAGCGTATGAATGTAGAATTCCCAATATAAACATGATAGAGTCCTAAGAGTGCCCGTGGGTCCTTTGCTCAAAGGAAAAGGCTTCTGTGATTTCCAGTGAGCATCTTTCTCCGCTAAGCTTGCTGGAGTCCTTCAGCCCCAGTAGATGTGTTGCAAAAAGCAGTTCCTCCTCCCGCTTGGTGCATCAGTGTGCTGGCAGGTGCGGCGGAAATGTGAAGGGGAATGGGAGGCATTTCAGGATGGGCAACCATTTGAATTCTAGAAGTCCATTGCTAATGACAGCCAGAGTTTAAATTAAAGAAGAGTCATCGACTACAGTTCTTTCTTTACTCTTAAAAATGTATTTTCTCTCCCTTCAGGTACCCATTTTATAAGTTTGAAAAAGCCTAATTCAGAAAATGTCTCCTAATGTCATTCTTGGTAAACACTGTATTCTTTCAGTCTAATCCAGCTGAGATTAAGAGGATTTTTTTATCTTACTCTCTTCACTTACTGTCACAATAAACTATGTTAAAATTCCTTTTTATAAAAGATTTTTAGTTTAATTTCCTCCCCCTTCCTTCCTTTTTTCCTTCCTTCCTTCCTTCTTTCCTCCTTCTTTCTTTCCTTTTGTCTGAAAATGTATTTACTTTGCCCACAGCTGGATTGATAGTTTAGCTGATATAGAATTATAGAAATCACCCAAAACGTTGTCAGCTTCACTCTCATAAAATTCTTCAAGTAACATTTCTAATTGAATTATAACAGAAATAGAGAAGAGGGAACAAATTATCTGTGTAAATCCTAAAGAAATGTTCCAAAAAAATAAACATACTCTTATTCCCTAAGGGGGGCTTGAGGTTACATGAATGCATTTATTATGATATTGAGTACTTCTTAGCCACCAAAAATGTCTATGACGATATTCTTTCAGCTGAGTTAGGTGACATAGTTGGTTTCTTCACTGCCTCTGACCAGGGCAGTGGGTTTCTCAGGGTGGTTACATGGAATTTCCCAAGCTCGTGGATGGTAACCTAAATTCTGTTACTTCCTCCTGGCTAAGCCCTAGTCTAGCTTTTACCATCATCCATTTCTATATCTTTTTCTCATTGTGCTTCTGACAAGACATGCTCAGGCTGTTGGACTGACGTCTAGCTTTGTATTTGGAAAATTAAGAATCACAGTCACAAAGTGCTTTGACATTCTAGTGTGCTATAGAGCTGCTTAATGCTGATGGAATTGCTATGGAGCTGTCTTCTTCCAATCACATCTTCACAGGGAGTGGAGGCTTTATTGACAGCTCTGGTGGATGAAGTTTGAAATACATGAACAGTCAAGAGAGACTGGAAATGGATGGTGGCATCGCCAGCTTTCTCTCCTCTGCCTTTGTCTTGGTGTCTCAACCCTGTTGTAAAACACCCACTTTAGAGCAGAAGAGAATTCAAGGGTCCAGTTGGGAGGGGCCAGTAGCTATTTGATATGGTTCAGATATGTGTCCCTTCCAAATCTCATGCTGAAATTTGATCCACAATGTTGGAGGTGGGGCCTGGTTGGAGGTGTTTGGGTCATGGGGGCAGATTTCTTGTAAATGGCTTTGCACCCTCCTTGCAGTAGTGAGTGAATTCTCACTCTTTTAGTTCTCACTAGAACTGATTGTTCAAAAGAGCCTGGCACCTCCTTCCCTTTCTCTCTTTCCCTTCCTCTCTTACCATGGGATGCCTGGTTCGCTTTGCCATCTGCCATGAGTGGAAGCTCCCTGAAGCCTTCACCAGAAGCAAATGCTGGCCCCGTGCTCCTAGTACAGCCTGCAGAATCCCTAGCCCAAGAAACCGCTTTTCTTTATAAATTACCCCAGTCTCGGTATTCCTTTATAGTAACACAAAACCAGACTAAATGATAATCCTTTTGTGGTTTTGGTTGCATAGATTCTAGGTGGGTCAGCAAAAAGAACTGAAATAAATCATTGGTTTTATGTCTCCAACAGCTCTGCAATGTTGATCATGAGATCCTGACATGTTTCCAGGACATATATGAGGGGATGACACAGATCACACTTTAATCTCACAGTTTCTCCTGAACTCCAAAGTCATTCACCTTCACTGTGCCTCAGTAGTCTACTCTACTGACCACACATAGGAATATGAAAATACTTGAAAACGCTATGACTGTAAACTCCACTCTCTGACACCACCATTCCCTCTTTCCGTGGCCCATGCTCTCCCGCTACATCGATAACTCCAGCCCTTCATGCCCTCTTCTCCAAGTTGGTTTCCTCTTAGCTTCAGAGAACTTCTCCATCCATCTTAGGAGAACTTACCTACCACCTTGTCCCTTCTCCATTCTCCTCAAGTGCCTTGCAGAACCTGATGCTGAGCAGCCACGCCATCACAGCCTCTTCTACAGCAGGATACTGAGCACAGCTGAGGGAAGCAATATAGCGCCACAAATGGATTTCACTAGGAAGTTATGGCTTGAGGCTAACTCAGGCCATCTGCATCTGTTGGTATTCCTCTGCCTTGACTACTTTACTTTTTACCATTCTCTTCAAGCTTCCTACATATCCTTTATATTCTCAACAAATGGCCTTGCCCCAGATTTACAGAATAAATAATCAGGTACAAATTTTTTCAAACATCGTACCCACCAACTACCAGCAGACTATCTGCTTTCCTATCTACCCTGCGTCTTCCTTCCCATCCTAGCCAAAGTGTCCCACCTTCTGCTCAAAGGTACACCCTAATCCATGGGTACCTAACTCCATTAATGTGTCCATGTGCTCTCTTGTACTTTCAAAATCACTTCTTCTGCCATTTTCTTTGAAAAAAAGGGGCATGTTCAAATTTATACATTTTTACAACAATTTCACTCAATTGTACGTTCCTTGCTGCTGGTCATATCCCTTTCCGTTCCTTCATAATCCACTGAATGAAAGAGTGATCTACAATCATGATTTGCATTTCCTTATTTTCTTGGCACCCTTCAAACCATGGCAGCTTCACTTCTTTATGTGCTTACTAATTCATATTTCATTAAAATGAAAAATGGTCTCCCAATTCCCAACGTGGCACTCATCTGACTTTACATCTCTCTATTATTGATGTTAGCAACCATTCCTTGTCTTTTCTCTTTGAAACTTGAGGCTGGGAGCAGTGGCTCATGCTTGTAATCCCAACATTTTGAGAAGCCAAGATGGGTGGTCATTCGAGGTCAGGAGTTTGAGACCAGCCTGGCCAATATGGTGAAACCCCATAGCTACTAAAAATACAAAAATTAGCACTGGGCATGCTGGCTCACTCTCATAGTCCCAGCTACTCGGGAGGCTGAGGCATGAGAATTGCTTGAACCCAGGAGGCAGTGGTTGCAGTGAGCTGAAATCATGCCACTGCACTCTAGCCTGGGCAACAGAGTGAAACAGTCTCGAAAAAAAATAAAAGGAAAGGAAAGAAAACTTTAGTTATTCTTTAAGACCTTATTTGCAGTAAAATTTGTGAATCTATGTGATTGTTTGATGAATGTCCATCTCCCCATATATTGTAAACTCAATAGAGAAAGAAACTATGTATCTTTGCTAAACATGTTAACCCTAGTGCCTAGGACACATAGTAGGTGTACAATTAATGTTTAATTGAATGGGTGGATCAATGAATGCTCTCATGAAAAATATAGCACCCTCATTTATCCTAGAGTTTCTCTTCCTTCTCTGGGCTGTCCTATTCAGTTTCCCTCACTAGCCCACCCTTCATATGTGATTGTTTTTCAGGGTATTATTTTTGCCTCTCTTTTCTCAATCTTCATGATATGTTTATACAGTCTGTTCATTGCTGTGGTTTCAAGTATTCACTCTTTTCTAAGCTTTGGTTGATATATCCAGCTTTTTACTAGACAGAGATACTTTAAATTTATCTCTTTAAAAGCTGATCTCATCTTCTCCCTCTATTTTCATTCTAGTCTCTTCTTATAGCTCAACTTATGGCTACTGACATAATTAGCAGTGTCGCGGCCCAAGAGACGTGGAAGTCAATGCAAATCACTGCTCATTCTTGTTCTCCGCGTTATTGCTACTATCACCAACCCTGCCGATTCTACCCACCTAATAGGTTTTAATTTGTCTTCTAATGACCATTCCCACCAGTACTATTGTTATAATTTCTTCCTTGAAAAATAGTTTTCTAACTTGTCTCCTGGTTTCCAAACATACATTTTCAATCTATTTTCTGTAACAAAATTATAATAATTTTATAGTTTCTTACTCAAAAAAAACATTAAACATTTCTGGTGCTTGTTATAAGAAATGGAGAAGAATTCATGGCATCCACAATGAATGTAAGTTTGCCCTGGCTGTCTCTGCACTCTGTCCTCTCCCTGACCTTCAGCAGCACTGGGCTACTTACGCACCCTGACTCAGTTTGCATGCTCACCTTTCCCTTCCTCTGCACTGACTGTTTCATCAGTCTGGAGTGTGCCTGCTACTGTCCCCACGCAACTTGCCACCTGTAAACTTGCTCTTGCTTCATAATTTAGTTCATTCATTATCAACTCTGGAAAGTCTTCTAAACTAACATGTGTTACGTGCCCTCCTTTTCTTTTCCATAGAACCCTGCCTCTAATTCTGCTTCAGCGATTATCACAGTGTTCTCTAACTCTGTTTGTTTCTCTACCTTTCCACTGTGAATGGTTTACAGGGTACAAACTACATATCCTTGATGCCTGAGACACGTGGAGTTCATATAGTCAGTATAATAAATGTGCATTGAATTATTTTTGAGCTCTTCATTATCCAAGTATGAAACAACTAGGCCCCTTTCCCATCAAGTTTCTTTAAAAAAAATTTTTTTAATTTACCTTTAAGTTCTGGGATGCATGTACAGAACGTGCAGATCTGTCACACAACATGTGCCATGGTGGTTGGCTGTACCTATTAACTTATTATCTAGGTTTTAAGCCCAGAATGCATTAGGTATTTGTCCTAATGCTCTCCCACCTCTTGCCCCCCACCCCCCAACAGGCCCCAGTGTGTGACATTTCCCTTCCTGTGTTCATGTGTTCTCATTGTTCAACTCCCACTTATGAGTAAGAACATCTGGTGTTCGGTTTTCTGTTCTTGTGTTAGTTTGCTGAGAATGATGATTTCCAGCTTCACCCATGTCCCTGCAAGGATATTATGCATTCTTTTTATGGCTGCATAGTATTCCATGGTGTAGATGTGCCACATTTTCTTTATCCAGTCTATTTTTGATGGGTATTTGGGTTAGTTCCAAGTCTTTGCTATTGTAACTCACCAAGATTCTTGACTTTAAAACATACTGAAGTTATCTGGAGTGAAAGAATGAATGTGCTCTCTACCACCTTGAGCTATGGGAAAGGTATTCTGCAGATTTTGACACAGCAGCCTCAGAAGATCTTAACTCAGTCACTCTAGGATTCTTGTTCTCTCCTTGGACCTAATGACTGCTTTGGGTGCTCATGAGGTTTCATTCCACATCAATGGCAAAGGCAGTTCCCATATGGCTTCTCTTACTGGTCAGAAGGCTTTGATCTGGCCCCTTGAACTGCCAGTTGGTCTGTGCTAATGGAACAGAGACTCACTTTCATATTGGTGTAAGACAGTCTGTTGTGTCTAAAAGTTCCTAAAAGTTAACTGTAAATAACTTTTCAGAACTGAATTCTCCAATTCAGATAATTTTGAGTTATCCAAATTTGTGCATCCCTGTCTTTGAACTTCCCCCATAGTGCAGATGGTTGGGAACTGGCTGAGAGTAAGGCTGCATGTTGTGCTATATGGCTGCACACCCCAAGAACTAGAGGAGGCTTCACCTTTGAGACCTGATTGCAACTTCCCTGAAGTCCATGTTTTATGTAATGGCAGACTCACAGTAGAATCAACCCAGAGAAATCATGAGGAAGACAGGAATTTGGGGACATTCCACACATCCTCATGGACTGCCTCCAGAGTACAGAGTCCCTGGGCAGTAGGGCCTGGCCTGCATGGCAGGTATCACCATCTCAGAGTAGAATGCCTCCCCCTCAAACCTTCTCAGACTGTGTTAGTCCATTCTCACACTGCTATAAAGAACTACCTCAGACTGGGTAACTTATGAAGAAAAGAAGTTTAATCAACTCACAGCCTCACCAGCTGTACAGGAGGCATGGCTGAAGAGGCCTCAGGAAACTTACAACTGTGGCTAAAGCAGGTACAGTCCTCACATGGCCAGAGCAGGAGAGAGAGAAAGAGAGAGAGTGAGCCAAGGGGGAAGTGCCACACACTTTCAGATAGTCAGATCTCATGAGAACTCACTATTGAGAGAGCAGCAAGCAGGAAATCCGCTCCATGATCCAATCAACTCCCACCAGGCCCCTCTTCCAATGCTGGAGTTTACAATTTAACATGAGATTTAGGTGGGGACACAGAGCCCCCACAGAATACACAGACCATGTGTATTCTAGGACTTACCTGTTCTACACCCCATGCATTTGGGAACACACTGTTTGCTACCTTACTAGGTTAAATCATTGGTCTTCATGATCTTAATGGTTAATAATACTAACGGCTAACATTTTGGGGATTCTTGGCAAAAACTAACAGTATTGCCCTTAGTATTTAGGTTTATCTCCTTCAATCCCACCTCAGTCCTTTCAGGTATATCCATGCCTTGTCATTTTTGCTATTCTCAGATAAAGACACTGAAATATAAAAGATTAAGTTACTTGGCTAAGGGCACTGCACTCCTGAATGGTGGAGATGAAATTCCAAGCCGGGTAGTCTGATTGCAAAGCCTGCGTCCTCACTCCCATGCTCTAATGGGCTAGCAGTGCTGTTGCACCTGCCCCATCCTCTGACTTCCTGCTGTCTGCACTTGTATGTTCTGCCCCAGGGTGGAGTCTGCCTTCTCATTCCCAGAGCCCCTCTGTCCTGACAGGCAGGCAGAAAGGACTGAGGCTGGATTCATGTCCACCCCTCTCCTGAAGTAGCTCCCTCAATGTCTTTACGAGTTGGTGTGCACACATTGCAGCTCTCTCGCCCACCTCCAGTGCAATAACTCTGAGGTATGTGTCCTACACTAGTTCCAAGACCGTCCCGAGTAGGATGAAGTCCCATTGGCTGGCAGCGGTTGCTTTTCTGACTGTACTTTCATTTATTTTGCAAATAAGCAAATTCTCTTTATATCCTCCTCTCAGTGTCTGCTTCTGTGAGAATCCATACTGAAACAAATGGCTTGCTCCGTCATTCACTCCCAGGTGCCCTGCAAAAACTTCCAATGCCCTAAGGAAAGTAAAGACTGACATCAAGGACTTTGAAGCCACGTGGTTGGCTGGCTTCTCTGTCTTGCCAGAGGCCCCGCTCTGCCTTGCTCTGCCTCTCAACATTATCTGCTTTACTCTCTTTCTTAAAGCAGATGCCTGGTCCCCTATGCAGGGCCTTCTCACCTTGCTGTGAACACATTGACAATAAGTCACTGAATCTTGCTCCATTGCACCTGCAAGAATAAATGATTCTCACCTCTTCTCCCTGGGATCAAGTTATTTGGTGGCTGGTTATTGTGACAAAAATAACTGCAGGTGAAAGTGGCGAATTGGCTTACTCCATTCACTGCTACTCACCTGGAAGCCCAACCCACACCTTTCCAGGAAAAGCTGTCTCTATCCCCACAGCAGGAACCCCACTCCAGGCACTTCCTTTGGCCTAGTTTTTGAGCACCCTCTGGGTTTGAAGTAATGTGCTAGATATTCTTCCAGCCTGTAACTGGTGTTAGAAAACAGTCACTTTCAAGAATATCTTATTTGCGCTGAGTTCTGGACTCCTGCAAGTTTCAGGAGATTCTGGAGTTTCACAGGTCTCTCCAGACTCCAAGCAGTTGCCGGCAGTGAATGCACGATGAGCTCCCCATTTCCTCGGCAAGGACAGTCCAGGGAAAGAGAATACCAAAAAGAAACAGAAAGCAGAGGCAACAATGTAACAGTTCTTTTTATTGTACTGCCTGACTTTGACTTTTATTTTTTACTATTTTCTCTAAAATGTATTTTTATTTCTTTTGATCTGCCAAAAAGTAAAACAATCACAAACACATATATAATATTCCATTTTCAAAATTAACACAGCCTTTCAGGTGCACTCAGCTAGTATTTATCACAGGCACAGAGCAGCTATGCAGAGAGTACAGCGGGAATCCTGTTATGGGCTGAATTTTGTCCCCTCCCCTTCTCTCACATTCATAGGTTTAAGTCCTGACCCTCAGTACCTCAGAGTGTGATAGTATTTAGAGAAAGGATCTTTAAAAAGAGGTAATTACACAATTACATATAATCATAACAATTGAGCCTTAATCCGATATGACTAGTTACCTTATGAGGACAAGAAGAGGCCCCAGGAGGCACCTGCATGAAGAAAGAACACAATGGGGACATAGCATTCTCCACGTGCAATCCACGGAGAGCAGCCCCGGGAGCACCTGCCCCTGTGGATACCTGGATCTTGGACTCCCACCCCCGGAACTGTGAGAAAATAAATTTCTGCCATTGAAGCCACACAGTCTGCAGTGCTTTGTTTCAGCAGCCCAAGCCAATTACTAAAAATGCCCTGTATGCAAATAGGGCACTCGAATTAAAACCACAGCAGAGCCACTTCACTCAGTGTTTGATTGTGAGGATATCACTTTGTCTCTCTGACCCTCAGTTTTCCTCTACTGGTGATGTGGTAATGGAGGCATTCTCTAAATCTTCTTCAGATGACTCATGCAAAAATGTGGGTGAAGGGACCCTGCACACAGGGGCTGGCTTATCGGGACTCAATATGTCTTTGGTGATTTATTTTCTGAGAATGCAATATGGGGGAGGATTCAAATTTCTTACACTTTAGCTGCCATGTAAGTCATAAACATTTATGAGGGTCAAATAAAAATAGATGGTTGATCTAAGTGTGCAAGATAAAGAGTTCTGAAGGATTGCAGAAAAAGATGTTGGTGGATGGTTTTAACTGGAGTATACCAGGGAAGGACCTTCTGAAGGTGGTCCTCTTTCTAGCTCCGTAGCATAGGCAGGATTTGAAGAGTAGAAAAGGAGGAAACAGTGCAAGAGATACACACCTGGAAACATGGAAGTTGCTGGCAGTAGGGAGTTCTGCAGTTGTGAGGATGGCCCGCGGTGGGTGGTGAACCATGAGAGATGACAGTGGACTCCTGAGGGCGGTGGGGACTGCCAGTGCTTTTCTCTTCAGATGTTGGGAAAGGGTGACTGAGGGAATTTCTACATTAGGCGGGACACTGAACTGCATTATCTATGATCTCTTTCAACTACAAGATTTCCTAATAGGGTTTAAATGTGAGTGAGGACTAGTTAGGTATTTAGATTTTTATCAGTTGGGTAATTGGAAACAAGTGAAGAGCTTTTTAAAATGATATGATATATGACTATAAAACATGCCTACATATTTAATCTGACCATATGCTGGAAGCATATGCCAAGGATACCAGTTAGGTGCACAGTGGAAAAAAGAACGGAGTGCTTAGCTTCGGCTCTACCATTTCCTAGCTGTGTGAGAGATCTTAGGAATATGATTTCATTTACTTATTTTTGTGCATGAATTCATTTATTGGGAAGAATTCAGCCTGTGCTTATTATCTTCCACACACACTCTGAGCAATGGGGGAGTGACAGAAAATGGTTACTGATCTCACGGATCTAACAGTTTAATACTAACGATGGAGGAAGCAGGAGTTAGAGGACACAAAACTAGTCTTCAGGGTTCAGGGAGGGCTTCCTGGGGAGATGGTGTCAAGTCTGTCCTGGTAAATGATGTCCGATGTGCACGTAAGCATGAGTTTCCATCTTTTTATCCATCGAGGAAAAGAGGAAGGGTGGTGTTTTATCTGCCTACTTCCTCAACTTTAAGTGCAAACAAGATAAATGAATGGAAGCTCTAAAAGCTGAATACATATGGGGTAGCCTGCCACAAAAAAAGAATTATCAGAGGGTAGTGACTGACTGCATGTGGAGGAAAGGTAAAGAGATGCATGAGATCTGACTTTGGTTTTAACCTGGAGGAATAAAAGATTTGAGAGACCTTCAAATTCCTTGAAATTAAGTCTAATGATTTGGGAGGTGATACTTGTTGCCTAAGAAGGAGGTGATGAGGACACTGAGTGTGTTGACTTCAAGGTGACTTATAATGGAGGCGATTGAAAATACAGGCAGGGTTATCTAGAGAAAGAGGAGTAATCTACACAGAAGTAAAGCCTTGGGCAAGTTCAGTGTTTAGACAAAGAGCATTCGTTATGTCATTTTGAAAAAGAATGTTAGAATGTTGGGGATTTGTATCTCTGAGGCCTGGTGGGCTCACTGCTAGCTGTTGTGGTCCATGATGGGGACACATCTGAGATGTAGAATGAAGACCAGGTGAGCCAGGTGAAGAACAGAGACATCACACTGTAACATGGGTGTCTGGGGCAGTGAACACTGGATAGGATTTGTAATCTACTCTTTGAGGAGCCATGTGTGGGACTGGACAAAGCTCAGCCTTGGTGGGCAGAAATTAAGCATAGTTGAGGGATAATAAATACAACACTCTGGATAGACATACTCAACATGAGACGGAGTGCAAGGAAGTCTGGGGTTTTTCTTTGTTTAGTTTTTTGGTTTTTGCCCCTCTCTAAGCCCAAGTGTGGGAGTATTCAGTCCATTCTAGAAGAGACTTATTTACAGGAGGAAAGCACACATTGCAGAGGCTTTTGGAAGAAGGCAGAGCTCCTGGGAGGCCTGAGCAGCACACACATTCTCTAATGCTTTTGTTGGAGCCATTTCCAATTATTTAATGAATAATTGGAATCTAATCATTTCCTTGATTTAGCAAATCGAAGATTTTTTTTTTCCCCTCAAGGGCAAAACACCTTCATTTTATTTTCTTCTCCATAATTAAGTAATTTCTTAATTAGTAATGTTCAACTTATCCAATCTAAAATGACACATTTTATTCCTTTTATAAAAGCTTATGTACACACACACCCAGCCCCCGCCTGGTGGTGGAGTGCTTGTCATTTCTGGGCTCTTTGTGTTCCTGAGCTCTCTCTATCTACTGCCTTCTCTGGCATCTCCAGCAGTTCTCCCTGAGCAGTGGGGAAATCCAGCTGTGTCATCTCACACTGGCTGACTTCTTGGTGGCTGTAATTAGCACAAAGGAGTTTCTCCTCCGTGGGGATGTCACACTGCACCATGGCTTTGCACCTGGTGAGAAACCTTAGTTTTTGGTCTTTCTCACTTGGTAGGCAGGAGATGGGGTGTCTGCTGCAGAGGCTGCCCTAAGGCCTGCACTGTGACAATCCTGAAGCACTTTGCACCTGAGGCGGGGGCTGAGGCCTTGGCTGCAGGGAGCATAGCTCCCCCTGCGCCCCTTTCTATTTTTGCAGGCTTTTTCTCTCTGTTCCACTAAACCCAGAATCAGATGTCACTCCCCTGTCTCAGCCAGCTGTAGGATGTAGAAAATGATAGGGGTCCAAGCAAGGCCTGGTCTGTACTGGACTGAACACCGAATTTAAGAGCTGAGACTGTTCATTTCCAAGGTTGTTACGTCCTCCACCAAGGCCGGCAATAGAATGTCAGTCAACTCCACCTCTCAGCCCCATCAACCAGCAAGGCCCGACCAAGTACTCCGTGTGTGCCCAGCTTCATGAAAGCGCTGCAAGCTCAGCAGGGCAATTCCCCAAGAAAGCATGATCCAGTGCACTTTGTCAGGGTCCCTCTTGCAGACACACCTCCCCTGCACACGTGTGACTGGAGCCTTCTGAGCTGACTTTGATGAAGACCTGGCTGGGATGAAGGAGAGCTTCACTCCCTGTTTTCACTGGTTGCTACTCTCTCCCCACCCAGCTTGCCTAGGGCCAGGTAGTGAAGATGATAATGATCCAGCACCCCAGTGATGCACAATTAACGTGAGAGTAATGGAACAATAATGGCTGCCTGTGGTAGGGACTTTGAAATCTCCAGATGAAAGGTCCACAGAAGTACAGTGGGCTATTATTAGCATTTATGTAGCGCATTTCATCTTCAAAGCACTTTGCAAATATTAACTAATGAACACAGAATACTGTCATTTTTTCCCCCTCAAGGACTGGGAGGGGTAGCCTCTGATGAGAGTTTGGGTTTAAATGGAAACATTGCTTTATGACTCGGAAGCAGAAAAACTCCTTTCCTCAGTAGCCATCTTCAGGCTTCTTAGGGAGGGTAGCTCTGATGACCAGAGGAAAAGCCTGCACTTGCAGGCGGGTGGATAGGACATTGGAGCGCAAGCTAAGCCAACACTGTCAGGAGAAGCACTGGGCACAGTCATGTGAGCCACATGGGATTCTAAGTTTCCTAGAACCACATTTTAAAAAGTAAAAAGTAACAAGTGAAATTAGTTTGAATAATTTGTTTAACCCAGTAGAGCTGAGACATTATAATTGTAACGACAAGTAATCAACATAAATTTATCAGTAAATAATTTTTTCTTATTTTGCATCTTTTTGTACTAAGCCTTCGAAATCAGCGTATGTGTTACACTTCGAGCACATTGCAGGGGGGACTAACTGCCTTGGAAGTGCCCAGTAGCCTCCTGTGGATAGTGGCTCTGTATACAGCAGCATAGATCCAGACTGCCTTTTAGGACGACAGCCTAGAACGCCTGGTCCCGCCATCCGGGCTGTCACTCACAGCACAGGGTAATACAGGGTCAAGTGTATGGTCTACAGTCTGACAGACTTAAAGTGGATACTGATTCAGAAATACTCCTATGATTTAATCCATTTGAGTTCAGTTTTTCCACCTATAATCAAGGAATGCTACTAGCTGCAATGTCACAGTTTTATGAGATTACTTTTGTAACGCACTAAGTGCAGTGTCTAGCATGTAATAATAATGCAATAAAGAATAGCTATTATCATATGAATAGGATGAGCTTGTATTTCAGGGCCCTGGCTCTCGCCCATCCTCTGGCACCAGGCACATCCTAGCTCCAACTCTGCACCTGGCTGGGCTTTGGCAGTGGGGCTGATAGACGAATTTCCTCAGCCTTAACCCATGTGTGATCTGTGTTTGCACACTGATTTTGGTCACAGCTCTGTGTGCCCAGAACCAGGAGCCTTCAGAGGGTTACACAGTTTGAAGAAAGGAAGGATGAAGGGAAATTATTTCTGCAAGCTTCTCATCCTGTCAATTACTTCTTTGTCTATGCCTTGGTCTAGACCCTCCATAACTCTTGGCTACCTTTAGCCTAACACCCTCCCTCGTGCAATGATTTGGTCCTCTAAAAGTGTCAGAAAGTCTTGCATCCTCTGACTTTCTTCACTCCGTTCCCTCCATCTAGAAAGTCATTCCCCTGCCTCAACCCAAACATACTGCATTAACTATAGTCCTGGCCCTGGTAATATACCTCACTGTACTTAACTGTTTACAGCATGGCATCCAGAGCACACCAGCTTCTCAAGAGATGCTCACTGAACCCTTGCTGTGTCCACCAAGAAGTGATTGGGTGATGGGAGAAGACGCTGTAGCAGCCGGGACATGTGGACCCCACCCCTCATCCTAGAAATTGTTCTGGGTGCTTTCATCTGAAGCACAACCTTTCTAAATGTTGTCTACACAAATTCCTTCACATTAACTCACTTTGAAACAAGAAGCAGCAGTGGAAATATAGGCTGCCCTATCATTAAATGATCACTTCTGAAAGTATCTTTTTGGTAAGAAGTTTTCCTCCAGACAAACTAGATAGCACTTCTTAAAGCTTCTCAGCTCAGGCAGGGGACTCCTTCCCCACAATTCTCGCTACCGTAGTGGGCCCTTCTCCGTGGCTTCTGTGACTTGGGTTACCTGTGGTCCATTGTGGCCTGAAAGATTAAATAAAAATTCCAGAAATAAACAATTTATAAGTTTAAAATTGTGTGTGATTCTGAGTAGCATGATGAGACCTCACGCCGTTCTGTGCCATCTTACCCCAGACATGAATCATCCTTTTGTCCAGCATCCCCACCCTGTCTATGCTGCCTGCCTGGCAGTCACTTGGCAGTCGCCTCGGTTATCAGATCAACTGTAGGGATTATTGCAGTTCATGTGTTCGAGCTGCCCTTATTATCTTAATAACGACTTCAAATTGCAAAAGTAGTGATACTCATGTGTCGTCATAATTGTTCTATTTTACTATTAGTTGTTGTTAAACTCTTACTGTACCTATTTCATAAATTAAACCTTATCACAGGGATGTATATATAGGAGAAAGCGCAGTATATACAGCTTTTAGGACCATTCTCAGTTTTAAGCATCCACTGGGAGTCTTGGAGCTATTCTCTGCTGATAACAAGGGAGGTGTTTTATTCAAACACGGAAAGTGCTTTCATGCAAATCTTGTCCAACCCCCCCATTTCACAGATGAGGCAAGGGACAGTCACCTTTTTGTCTGAGGTGGTAACTGAATCCAGATCTGATACCTGACTGCCCACCCATTTGTTGTAGCTCTGAAAATATCCCAAATGGCTGTGAATGACCTTGGCCAGAAAATCCAGGTATCAATGCGGAAGGAAGCCCTTCTGGGGTCCCTAATGGGTGCGTTTAGGACCTCAGGGAGTAATATTGCGGGGGCTGTTGAGCCAGCACTCAGTTTCCTAACAGCTTATCTCTTGCAGCTCTTACAGGCAACAGCTGCACGCAGTGTGTTCTGACTTCGGCCATGTCTTGTAAAGCAGCTTGGGTGCTGGTGCTGACACAAGCATTCCTCGTTTTGCCGTTGTTGGAGTTGAATATGTTTGATTCCTTTCTAGTCGCTTTTTTCTTCCCTTCCCTTCTCCTCTTTTCCCTTTCTTGTGTTTTATTTCCCTGCCTTTGTTCTCATTCCCTGGTCCCCATGTGGATGTCTGGTACTAGAGTTACATAAATAATCAACTGCCTCTTAGGAGTGGGGGATGAAAAACAACAGGGATTCATTTTCCTGAGAGCTCTGGGTATCTGAATAACTGGCCCGCATTGGTCTCTTACTGAGGGTTACTTGCCTCTAGGAATTGCCTTTGGGGGTCTCTTCAGAGGAAAACACAAAAGCACAAAACGCAACTGACCAATTGTGCAAAACTGTTTGTAGGAAAAGATAGTGTGGTTGGGTGGGGAAAGGAATTCTCTGTGACCCCTGAGGTGGCCAGCTAAAGCCGCGGAGCCCCTGAAGCATGAAATTTGATTACCCTTATCTTGGTGCACAGCTCCGATACTGCTGTCGGTCATTCAATTACCCAGCAACCTCTACAAATGTCTGCAGCCGAAGTAAATACGGCATTAGGAGAAACACGCCATCTTCCTTGTGTGGTACCTCTGAAATGGCAACAGACCTTACGCACCATGGAAATAGGCTTGACCAGAGACGAGCCTGGGCTTTGATCATTACTCCCAAGGGTTTTTATCCATGACTGAGTGCTTCTTTGGCTCTTCTAAGATAACGTCGTCTCCCTTTTCAAATCAGATATTTAAAATGGCTTGGAGAGATCTGCAGGTGATTAAGGAGTTTAGAGAATGAAACCACTGAAGAAAGGCTAGAGAACTAGCATGTTTAACTTGGGGAAGAAGTCTGAGGAGTGATTTAATAACTGTCTGCAAATGCATATAATGATGGAGGAGCGGGGGGATGACTAGCTGCTCTGACCATCCTCTAAAGTCAAAACAAGAGGAGCAGTCACAGTCACACACAGTGCAGGACTGCGCCATCAGGAGGCCCGTGCCCAGTCCAGGCCCTTCCAGGAAAAGTCCTCTGTGTGACCCTGGGCACCCCCTTCCCTTGCTTCACACTGGATGACCTGCTTCCCATTCCATGTTTCTAATTAATCATTAGAATAGTGGTTAGGTTTAAAAAAGCCAAGTTTGCACTGACTGCTGTGGTCGTTCCTAGAGACAGAAGAAGCCTCTAAGTAATACTCAAAAAAGATTTTAGGGACATTTCCAGAGACAAGAGATTTGGTTATTCATAGAGAGAAGTAAAAACTGTTTTTTGGTTTTTTTTTAGAAAATAAAACAAAATTTTAAAAATGGATCTGGAAGAGTAGGATTTGGGAAGGAATTATAAGTTTCCATCAATATGGACAAAAAGTCAACAATTCTAATCCCTCTCTTTCTAACAATATTCCCATTGTCTTCCGGCTCAGGAAAGAAAATCTATTTTGTGACTTCTCCAATCTCCTGGTTAATGCAGATAGCTGTTTGGCTCTGCGATTGTTTACATTATCTAACATAGCTGGAACAGTGAGCAGTTAGAGACTAGCTGCCTGCTGTTGGTCTGGAGCTTGTCAGAGGGGCACAGGTCAACTGGTCTGGGAAGTGGGTGGGGGATGCTGTATGGATATACTAGTTATCATCTGTGGAGAAGGAAAGCCCTTTCCTCTGCTCTCTGAGATTCTGTGGCTAAAGCCTGTGGATGATGCTGACAAAAGACAGATCAACAGTAGAAAAGCATACAAATTTTATTTGAGGTTAAATATTTTTTATGGGTAGGGGCTTCATAGGAAGAAGTGAAAACTCTAATAAAGTGGTTAGGCTTGAGACTTATATACCATATTAACAAGCAGCAATAAAATGCGGAGATGTGACAAGACAGGATAAAGCAGTGGCGAAGCATGAGTGACTCAAAAATACATGAGGAAACCAATGGAAGATAAGGGTTGTTTTAGTAGGGTTGTTTGTACTAATTCATCGTGGCATTGACTCTCTGTCTCCAGTAATAAGAGCATTCTCCTCTTCCTGGTACAGGGAGGGCAACTTTCTTTTATGCCCTGCTTGTAGGTAGAAAGGGGGATGGCAGAGAATCCTTCCTACATCTGATGTTTCCCAATTTCCTTCAGCTCAAAATGATCAATAGACCAAAGTGGTATATTTGGGGATGGCATGTTCTAAGCCTCTGCACATCCTTCCTATGAAGGATGGTATAGCAGCTGGGAGGTGCAGATACATCTTATCCCCAGTCTGGAAACTCAGTCCCTCTTTCTGTCCTCAATTTCTCTAGATATATTTTCACAAAGGTTGCTGTTGATCTTTTGGAAAGAAGCTTAGCTGCTACATGGTCCAGGATAGCATTTGCAGGTTAAGTATTGGCCATTGATACCTGCAAAACCAGGCTACAAGAAGACCCACCCCCCAAAAAGGTCCAGATACCAAGTTCCATGACAGTGGAAGCAGGTGTTACTTAGCTGCAGTCAAACAGCACCCCTGATGCCATCCCAACTACAAAGGCAGTATATTCTAATTAACTGCAAATGCTTTACTCATAAAGCTGTCAGCACTGGGCTCTAATGTCGGTACTTTTAATGATGCATTTGATTAGAAGGTAATTTTATTCACTCAGCGGCAGTCAGACCTGTTTGGTGAGGGTCTCTTTTCCCCTCGTCTTTCCCCCACTTTTTCTCTCCTACTTGAAACATTTATGAAGTTGTGATGTTCAAAACAGTCTAACGAGTAAATAAGTAAATCCATCAAAGCAATGTCATAATGTCTGCTCACCATCAGCCTCTTTGTGTGTGTGCATGTGCTGTGTCACATAACAGGAGGAAGTGAAGAGTGAGGTGGTGCTTTTTTAATTTCACATGAGATTCACATCTGGAATCTCTGCTTTTACAACCGAACATTCTCTTCTCCTTACTCCAAGTCCTAATAACTGTCATGACTTTATAGTGCATCAAATTTTGCACATCCATTCCATGTTCTTTTATGTCACTTATGCCTCACAATAAAACTATGACATAGTTATACCTCTGATGAAGGAACAGAAACTGGGAGATTTTATTATATGTCTGAGAAACTCAGTCAGTAATTCGGGAATTCAAAACTAGATCTCAGTCTAAATCCTAGGCTTTCTCTACCACACCATATGGTTTCTCATCAAAGAGCTGTTTTTATCTTTTTTCTTTGAAAACCAAGTATGGAGCTGCCCACACTGGAAATTCACTCTTGCTGGAGGACATCTGGGGAGCCACTGGGGCTGGGTTCACAAAGCCTCTGGTCTGCTTGGGTCAGGCCTTCTGCTATGGAAGCATACGGTGAGGTTCAAGGCAACTAAAAGTTCAGACTTGTGAGTAAATCCAGCAGCCTACAGTGAGTTTGTTTCATCTCTCTTCCTCTCCCTCGTCCCTCCTGATGAGGCTGGTGGGTCTCTTCCTTACAGGATCCTAAGCCTTTTATGTTGTGTGTCCATTTTAATCTACTGACTTCCGATCTCCCTGCCTGATCCTCCCTCCCTTCTTCTTACTTTCCACACCCCCTCTCCTTTCACAGTAAGAGCTTATCTTCATTGAGGGCTTACTGGTTGCTTGTTCTTTACATGTGTGGTCTCATTTAATTCATGTGTAATGTAGGTATAGTTATCACCCCGTGACAGAAACCATGTCTCAGGAGGTTATGCATACTGCCAAGGTCACAGAGCTGATGAGGAGCTGCAAGTCTGACTCAGAGCCTGAGACCTCCATTACTGCTTGCATTCATCAACACAGTGAGGGGACATAACTACTCTGCTTAATACTGAGCTAGGTGCGGTGAGAGGTGCCAAAAGAGAGATGGGAGATGAGGCCGTTTTCAACTGGGGATCTCAGGAGACCTCTGCCCTAAAATTACAATGGAATGTTTTTCCAACAAGACATGACATTTTCACCCAGGAATCTTAAAACACCATGGAGTGCGAACTGTTCTGTGCTGCCAACTCTCACCCCCTTTTTTTGAATTGAAAGTCAGTAAGGTTAAGCAGTATTGACATGTGAAGGGATTTGATCTTGGGTTTTGGGGTACAGGGGCCAATCTTTTCTCCATGCTGCTACACTGCCTGCTATTCATCAAGGGGCAGAAGAGGAGAACCACTTGCTGTACCCAAGCTGGAGCTTAATTTTTATCCTCAAATGTTTCATCCCTAGCTACTCCTTAGGTGGTTGATTATGCTTCTATGAAATCTCCATTTGAAGGAAAATCATATCGTATGCTAGAACAGACAAAGGAAGAGCTCATGACCTTGCATTGCTTCTCATTCTGCCTCCCTCCTTGATATTCTCTTGTGCTGCTAGCAGGGAATTTGACACATTATTATTAAATCTGTTTGCAAATGTGTGGAAAGCGCCCTGAACACCCTCCCTGGTTATGAGAGGTGGCAGATCCCGTGTCTGAATCACGGGCTCCTAGAAGTACTTGCCTTCCCTTTTCTTCTCCCTTTGCTTCGCTCTGATTGTCCACATTTCAGAAACAGTAAGGATACTAGTACCAGATCGGCTGAGCCCTGGAGCAGAGTCCTGCAACCTGGAAATGCAGCACTTAGCGAAAGTAGCCAATTCAGGAAGACCTGCCTGTCCTCAGTGAAATGGGCTCCAGCTGGCCCTGAGGTGCTGGGGTGGGCGGCCAGGCTGAAGCTTCCTCACTGTCTGCATGCCGTCTACTTTTATGATGCCTTTTACCATATGCAATTAATTAACTGAGTTATGACCACCAAACATTCTAGGAATGCAAAGTACCAGATAAGTGCTTGTTAAAAGTAGTAACTTCATAAACGAAGAAGGTTTGGGTGTCGTGGGGGACTAGAGAGAAAGCTTCTTGCTTCAGTTAGGGTTCAAGTCCTGTGCTTCTGTTTCTTAGGTCACCATCCCATCTGGGTCTACAGAAAAGTTGAAGGGGAGAGGCAGAGAAATGAATGACAGGAGCTGGCTCTCCAACACCTCGCCCTGACCATAACAGTGGGACTGTGAATGCCTTTGCCACAATCTAGAGCTTATGAAAGGCTGTCACTTAGCATTTGTACCTCTCCCCATGAGCACCCCCAGCCTCACCACACTTCATGCCACTATGCACCAAGATGAGTGTTCTTTCCATGTAATTTGGAAAGTGGTGTTGCCATACAAACGTAAACATGTATTCAGTTCTTCGTTCATTCAGCAAGTATCTCTAAGTATCTCTAAGCAGCCAACTGTGTTCTTGGAACTAAGTTCTAAGACCACGGTGAGTGGAAAGGCATGGTAGGATGCATTGGGACGCTTTCTTCTTTTTAATCCTTTAAATTGATCATTTTCTGCTTCTGAATAAAAATCTTAGCAGGGCTTTTTTTCTGAAATATCTAATAGAGTCAAGCTGTTGCCTTGGGCACTTAAGTGAGAATACATGAATTCAGTAGAGCTTATTAGATGACAAATGATGCATTCACAACACATACACACACACACACAGACGCGCACACACAGTAAAACTGACAGGGAAATACTCATTAACTGCACACAGAAAAGGCTTTGCACAGGTCTGGGAAGGCTTCCTGGAAGAAGCGAAAACAAAGTGGAATCTTGTGGGGTGCTGAAAACCTGTCCAGCAGTTCCCCCTTTCCTCAGGGGATACATTCCAAGCCCCCAAGCAGATGCCTGAAGCTGCCAACAATACCAAATCCTGCATATACTATACACATTTTTTTCTTCACAATTTCACAGATTTGGTCTTACTGTAGATCTTGGTAACCTCAGCATACAATTTTTTTTGGTCTCCCTATCAATTTGAGAACTTTCGCCTTTTCCCTTAAAAGAAGCACTTTACAGTTTCTCTTTGACATATTCAAATTGCCAACTTTGGAGCCATTGTGAAGTCAAACAAGAGTTACTTGAATAGAAGCACTGCAATATCACGACAATAGATCTGGTTGGGATTTTCCAGGTAATATTTTCAGACCATGCCAAACCACGGATAAAGGGTATACTGCTATATTTAACAAATAACCAGGCTTTGGTTCAGAGCTGCCCTCCAATCATGAAATGTATTTTAACTGAATGCTGAGCATCCCGTCCTTGCCCCAGGCAACCTGGTAACAGCAGCTTTTAACAAAAGACAAGCAATTAAACAGGCCCAGCTTGCTCCCCCGGGGGGCCTTTGCTGTCCCTTTCATGCCCCGGCGTGCTTCTGTGCTGGGCCTGCTCCAAGAAGGAGATGAAGCCTCTTCCTAGTTCTGGTTTTTTTTCTGATAAGAAGGCCCCAGCGCAAGGTGCAAAAACTTACAGAGAATTACGCAGTGCCACTGGGACACTTTGCTTTTAAATTGAGACCTCAGCACATAAAAAGTCTGCCACAAATGCTGAGGTTTGGCTTCAGAAATTAAGGGCTGTCACTTTAAACTGATTTCCTTTCCCTGGGCCTGCTCCTCCTGGCCCAGCCTGGGCAGAGGGAAGGGATATTTTAAAGTGACAGGTTTAAACAGCCTCCGTGTGTGCGGTGCAATCATTTTTCATGCGAAGCCTCCTGGGCTCATGCTGAGGTGCTCTGCAGGATCCAATCTCCTTCTATAAATTCGTGGGAGGCCCCATGCTGCCTGGCAGCAAGAGCCGTAGGAGAGGCTGCTCAAGCGGGGCAGGTGGCAAGAAGCAGGGCTCCAGGAGGGGAGGCCCGGCCAGCAGGGCGCAGCATCCTGGGAGGGCCACACACTTCCGCGCTGCTGAGCACCAGTGGGCACCTCGGTTTCGGGCTGGCCCGTGGAAGATACTGAATAGTCTGTGAATTAGTTTGAAAATTGTCTCTGAGATTCTGTTTCCATGAGGTATAATGGAAAGAACTGGAATTAGAAGCAGAAAACTCGGAATTTAGTCCTGTTTCGTTCGGTGTTTATGTATGCTCTGTGACTTTCACTACATTTAACCTTTGTGAACCTCAGCCTCAAGATTTCCACCAGTTTCTGTCTGTAAAACCGGGATGTGGGGAACAGCTGAGTGGGTGATGGGAACATGTCTTGTAAAATGCAGTGCTGTACCAATGAATGGCATATACAGCTTCACGCAGCAGCGGCGGCAGAACTGGAAATCAGTGCTTGCCCAGCCTAGCAGTCTCTGGCTGCAATTATTCAGAGGCAGCACAATAATTAATGAATGGGACACCTCCCATCCCAAGGACAAAGGTCTCCCAATGAACATGAAAACCTCACCTAAGACGCTGGATAAACCCGGCCCCGGCTCTCAGGGCAGAGTCCCCACGGTCCCGGCCTTGTTTGGAACACTCCACTGCTGCTCAGGAAATGGACACTGGTCCTGTCGTGCTCTGGGCTGAAGCCTGACCCAATTTCCTTTTGCATGTGGCCACAGGGTCCAGTGCTTGCACCACAGGACATCTTAGAGAGCGGTACGTCCAGTGTTTCTTTGCTGGGACCTCTAGGAAACTGTACTCATAGTGCCTGATAATAAAAAGGCACTCTCTTTGGAGACAGGTGGCCTCCTGGCTACTGTCTGGCTTTGCTCTGCAGATGCCCATCATGCTGGAGTGCCACTGCATTTCCAGACAAAGCAACAGGGAACCCAGCCTGAGTGGGAGAAAGGAACTGCCTTTTTTTTTTTCTTTCCTTGCTTAAAAATCCTGTGATTTTCTGAGCAATTCTTAGGTTGCTGGCTGTACTTCACAGCCACCGATATATTTAAAGTTTCGGTATTAAAGAGCTCAGCAGCCTATCCCAGGAGGAAATCACCTCCCCAATTCAAGTCAGCCAGGTGCCCTCTTGAGACATGTGGAATTCGTGTCCTCAGCAAAAAGCTCTCTCTTTTCAAACTGGGAGATGGCAGTACATAGGCCTATTACTGGAGTAGACACGTTTATGAATTTCAACATCCTATTAGCGGTGATGATCTGACAAAATCACAAGAATGAAGATATTTGGGTGTACAGCTGACAGCTGATTTATGTGCTTAGATGGCACCAGGATGTAGTGTGCCTCCAAAGAAGCCCTTGAGGAACCGGTGCAGGGTGCGGTTGGGGTGAAACAGGGATCCCGTGTGTAGGGCACAGGCGCCATCCTTGGAGTTCATGGGGTCCCTCCAGGGTCATTGGTATCTACTCAACTGAGGCAGCAGCAAAGAGGGTGTGCAGAGGCAAAGGCTGGTGAGGACAACATCCTTCACTCACACACTGGTCTCCTTGAAACAGGTTTGAGCTGACATCAGCGCATTAGCCAAGGCAAATTTCTTTTCCTCAGATGCAATAATGTAACTAGAATTGACAAAATGAAATATAATTTGGAATCACTATCAATCCCAGTGAGATTGGCTCATGACAAGAATCTATGGAGCTGCGAGTGTCTAAGAGTGGGTGTCAAGGGACTTCCTCTCTCAGGATGCAGGGTGGACTTGGGCCTTGCCGTTGTTAATTGGACTGGTTTGGGATCCTCTGGGCTGCATTGACTATGTACCCAGCTCCTCCTCCTCTCCCCCAGGGTAGAGTGACTGCGCTCTTTTATTGGCTTTTGTGCCCTCTAAAGCTCCATCTGTAAGAGAAAAACTGAATTGATCCCATTAGCTTGATTTTAGTAGTGCTGGAGAAGGTAATGGATTTCAGCTTTGCTTGCCATTTAATTTAGATGTTAAAATATCACGTGTGATTGACCTAGATACATCACTGCCACTGCCACTGTGAGCTGGCCATGAACAGGAATAGATACTTGTAGGTCATCATTTGTGAAGTATCTAGTTAATTAGGGAAAGTGGACCACCGAGTTGTGATAGAATCCCTTTGGGGATACAAAAAAGAGGAGTTTGTCATCGAAAGTTCTTTGGATCTCAGTCATCACCATTTGATGATGGGAGCTCTATCCTGGCTGGAGTGGAGCACCCCTAAACCCCCCAAAACATAAACACGAATTGTAGCATTCTTTAGAACCACAGACTATAGCTCCATGAGGGCAAGAGCCATAAATGAGGTTAACGCTGTGTCCTCCAAGCCTACTCCAGTGCCTGCCAAGGGGCAGGACGGGGAATGGAGTTCAGGTGGTATGGAGACATAGGGAATATTTGTTAATGAAGTCATAGCACTGGAAGAAAATTTGGGGTACATCCAGTTAATCTGTATCCCTGCTTAATTATCTCACTCATAGAGGGCTCTGCAGTGACCATGGAAAAATTTCTTTTTCTTTTTTTGTTTTTTTGAAATGGAATCTCGCTGGAGTGCAGTGGTGCAATCTCAGCTCACTGCAATCTCCACCTCCCAGGTTGAAGCGATTCTCCTACCTCAGCCTCCTGAGAAGCTGGGACTACAGGTGCGAGCCACCATGCCCAGCTAAATTTTGTATTTTTAGTAGTTTCACCGTGTTGGTCAGGATGGTCTCAATCTCTTGACCTTGTGATCCGCCCACCTCAGCCTCCCAAAGTGCTAGGATTACAGGTGTGAGCCACCATGCCCAACCCAACCACAGAAAATTTCAAATCCCAGCTCTGTCACTTAATTGCTGTGCCAACTGGTGCAGGTAACTTAACCTCTCTGCATAGTTCCCTCATCTGTAAAATGTCATTCCTAATGATACATGCTTCGTAGGGCTGTTTGAGGATTGAATGATGTAATGTAATGGAAAACTGTCTGAAGAATATTTGGTATCTATCAAAACACTTAAATGTTAATCACTATAGTTATTAAGTGGTGTTTCCATCTTGCTTTTCATCAATCCATCCTTTTACCTAAGTAAGACTAATAAACTTCATTTCATAAGTTTTAAATCTAGTTTGCCATAACTTAAGGCCCTTTTTCCTATATTGGCCTCACAGAGGGGACACAAATCCTTTATCAAAACTACCTGAGTGAGTGTGGATAAGTCCCTGGATCTCTGTAGACCTCAGTTTTTCTTTTGTTTTGTTTTGTGTCATGCAGACACCAGACTAGATGATCTCTAGAGGCCTCTTTCAGCTGTATTGTGGCGGTTGCGGCCAGTCATAGCAGCTACGCTTACTGAACACCTATTATGAGCTAGGCTCTGTCTCAAGTGCTTTCTTGTGTTAATTAATACAGCAGTCACATTGGGAAATTTGATATCAGTACCTTCATTCTGAAGACGAGGGAAGTGAGCTGCTGGAAGGTCAGGCAGGTCACGGACCGAGGGTTGCCCAGCTGGTAAGCGGAGAAGCCAATATTTGGATGTAAAAAGATTCACTACTCAGTCCATGAGCCTATATAGCAAAATTAATTCTGTGGTCTTCTGTTACTATGATTTTGTGAATATTTCTGAACTCAAGGTGAACCGAGAAATCAGAATCTCTCTACTCTATTGGCTTTATCCAGTGACCTGACCTTGGCACCAAAGAATATTTTTCATCCGTAAATAGCAAAGTGCCTGATTGCCAAATAAATAAGAGAACATGAACTACTGTGAAAATGCTTCAAGAAGCGGAGTTATTACTACTGTGTCATAATTACAGCAAGAATAATATGCATTTATGGAACACTTCATGTTCCCCAAGTACTTCATGGCTGTCCTAATTAGGCAGCCTATTGACACATTCTGAAGAGATGACGGCAAGTGTTGATTTCCACTCTGCAGTGCCATGAAGCTTGCAAGTACCTCTCAGCTTGGGAAGGAGGGTCAGTAAAAGCCAACAAGGCCAAGCCTAGGAGGATGATGGAAAGTGGATTACCATCTAATGGGTGAGAAAGGCCGACTAGCTCCAAATGTCTTGGGACTGTAAAAATCAAAAGTTAATTATGGGGAGGACCCCCATTTGTATTTTTATTGCTCTATTTACATTTTATGAAGCCATCTGTTATCATTAATATGTTCAAAGTCAGTTTTGTTTTATTTGTAATTGTACAGCAAAAGAAAAAGCAATTCTTCCTCAAGTGGGAGAAACCACAGGCCTGGGGGAGGAAGACATCTGGCCGGGTGAGCCCTTGGCCAGAATGATGACCATCTCCTTGGGCTGGGTTCAGGCAGGATCTGGGCAGGCTTCAGGGACTCTGGCAGCTTTTTGCAGGCTCAGTCACTTGGAGGGAAGCTTGGCCCTCTAAGCTGAGGGATAATCTGCATCTCTGGGATGTGGATAACTTGTTAAGAGTGGTGCAGTGACAGGCTGAAGAACAGCAGAACAAGCCCACCAGCTGCCCTTTTCAGGCATGGAGCTGCAGTGAACCCATCCAAGATATCACCGTCTCCGACCAGGCCCATCTGCAGGGGCATCCCTGGGGCCACACACATGGATGGAGCCTACAAGCCATCTTGTTCTTTTTCTCTTGTTTCGCTTCCCTAGGACACAGCTGAGTGACCCCTTTGGAGGTGGCTTAGGGAGAGCAGAAACCACCACCGGCCACTTTTGGCTCAGGGACCAATGGCAAAGTGCTCCTTCCTGATCTCAACCCAAAATGAGCAGCTGCTGGAGGATTACAAAGCATTGGACCTTCTCCTGTTCATTTTAAATGTTATCTCAGCTGGGCAGTTCTTGCAAATGAGCTCATCGCCCTCCCCTTCCTCTCTAGTTCCCCACCATCACCACCACATACCCTACCCAAATACGCTCCAGCCAAAACCAGGGCCTACAAGGAGTGCACATTAACTAAATTGCAGCTTACTGGCCACGTTGGTGGTGTTCCCAGATTGGGTTCCTCTGGCTTAACACTCGGATGCTAATGACAGGAGCTGGATGTGGCCAAGGGACAGCCTTCACAAAGAAAATGGCAAGGGCGGGCTTCACAGAGCTTCGATTTTAGGCTAGTTCATGGGTCTGCAAGTAAGGTAAGGCAGAGATGCATTTAAAACAAAACAAAACACGAAATGAAACAATGGAAACATCTTTCTGCCACAGAAAACTTGTACTTCATAAGTGTCTCCAATCGTACCCTGCAGGTTTCAGAAACACAAAACAAAATCTTTTATTGATTCTGCCGCAACTGGAATGTGGTTTCCTTTCTCTAAGTGCTCCCCTGATGCAGCTTCTTGCCTCTGACCCCTGTCCCCATATTTTTCCTGACCATGCCTCCTTCTACCCTCCAGTTTTTTCTCTGCTACCAGATATGAATGGCAGGGGAAAGGATTAGAGGCTTTAGGCAGGAAAAATAAACAAGAAAAATAAAACAAAACAAGGTGCCTGCTTCGTCGTTTCTCCCGAAGCTACAGTTGATTGGGACCCAGAGAGAATATTCCGTCCTTCTTTTCCTAGGCCCTGTCCTGTTCCTCTCCTTTGCCCTTTATCAGGGCCCCAGAACTGGTTGTAGTGGACTTTTCTGTGCAAAGCAGGCTCCTGTCAGAAGCCATTTCCGAGTCTGAAATCATTGCACTGGGAGGTGAAGATAGACAATGGTTAAGCCACTGAATTCACTGAAAGGATATTGGATAATTGAGACACTTCCTTCTGGGGTTAAGGGCTGTGGTTTGGTGCTGGGTCCCCACCCAGGGAGGCACCCTGACTCTTGCCTGAATAGTTGGGGCCAGCTACCCATGCCTTGGCAGATGCAGCTCCTTGCTCCCACGGGTGTATTTCTAGGGAGGTGGGAGATGTGGTATTCCGCAAGCGAAAGAAATCTGAATGTCCCAAGTACATAAGGCTGGGACCTGGGGAGGACTAACCGGTGCTTCTTCTCATTCCAAGTGCTTCCCAACCTGCTCTTTCGTCGCCTCCTGTCACTGCAGAGCCCGTGTTTGATTAATGACGGGGCTCTTCATTCCCAGCACCACCCCCCCTTGCTCCCCCCCACCCCCACGCACGTCCATTTTAATTCTCTCCTCCCTCTTTTGGCATCTGGTTTATTTTGTATATAAACTGCTGATGCAAATGTCCAAAGTAAATTATGCTGAATAATAGATGAAGACAGCTACATAATTTATAATGCTAGAGGCCAGACAGAGCTGGACGGGCAGAGTTCAAGCCCACGCCACTTCCCACAACCTGCTGGGCTGGTGTTTACATCCTAAGTGCTGGAAATAAACACAGCCTGATGCCTGTGGCTCCGACTGTCTTCCTCAAGGTGTGTGTCTGTCCCTAGAGTGGACGTGGACTCCCTGGCCCAGGCTGCAGCCCATCAGTGAAGAACAGTCATGGGAACAGCATATGTCACCCTCTTCCTCAGCTCCTCTTGTTGGCTTTGCCTTTAAAACAGACCCCATATAACTTCTGCCATTACTAGCTTGGAGAAGCAGCCCTCACCTCCTGCCTGGTGAGTGCACACCCACTCTGCGTCTCCGAAGCCTCTCCCTGTTTTCTCCTTTACAGGCCTGTGTGGCTTCAGCCTTAGGGTGACCTGGTCATCTGCAGGCCCCTGAATTTCCATCATCTTCTCTGTCTGGTCTCTTCAGCCCGCCCATTCAGAGCCCGGCAGCCATCCTTGAGAGTCTAGTCCTGCTGGGCACACGGTGACTGTAGGGCAGAGATTTGGGGGTTCTGAAGCCCGTCCTATACTGCCTTGAGCTTGGGAAGGTATATGCTGGAAGGAACTAGAGCTGGCATTGACAAATGGGAAGAGAAAGCTTCCTTCAGCTTTGCCACCACAGAAAGCCAGTTCTGCTCACATAAGACATCTTCAGAAGAGGAGAACATTAGTTATTTTTCCTGATACTTGGTGTCTGCTCTGATAATCAAGAACTGTTGAAATGGCTGAGATCACAGCATCAGTCTGATTGGCTAACAGGAAATCTGAGTTGTGTAATTATGAGACCAAATTCACACAGGTCAAAACTCATTAGCCAAAGTGTAAAAAATTGCCTTCTGTACAAATACAGCATTCTCTGTGCAGTCACACTCACTCAGCATAATTCCCTTCACGCCTCAGGATAATCTGGAGGTGGAGGCAGCATCCTCCTCCCATGCGCTCCTCACTTCCAGTTCAGAGATGCTGCCTTACACCTTCACACAGGGGTGGGTCTTGGATCTGAAAGCTGTGATTCACAGGTGCGGACACCACAGAAGAGCTTCAGCATTTCCGAATGCGCCCCTTATCATGGACAAGGCACTGTGTCAACACCTGAATAAGTGTTATCAAATTGACACCTTACACAACTCAGAGAGCTGGTGTTAACTCCATGTTATGAAAGAGGAAACTGAGTCTCAGACCAAGCAACTTTGCCCAGGTCATGCAGCTGTTACATGAAGGTGAGAAAGGGCCTAGGATGCTGCAGAAAAGATCAGGGAGCATGAGGCTGAGGGGACATAGTTTTTTCTATGGGTACCGACCTGCTTCGACCGAGTCCTTCTGCAGACAGAATGTGCTATCCTCAAGTGAGCTAATCGCCTTGTCACTGTGCCATCATGCATGGTTGCCGACTCTGTCCCAAGCTGCTAAGGGGGCGGGTGACGGGGTATAGCCAACCAAAGATTCAAAAGTGCTAACAGACTTTAGCTGTGTCATATAAAGAGACAGCAGCTGCACTCAAGAAGGCCTTCTGAGTATTATAAAATAGTTTGGGGATCTAAAAAAGGAAAGCGGGTTCAGGCCACAAAGATGGTTGCAGAATTATTTTAGATTTTCATTTCCGACAAAAAAGATGGAAGGGCCATATAACCATGAGATTAGTTCTGTCCAATTTCAAGTCAGTGACGCACCACTGAGGGCTGGGGATCTTCCACAGCTAAGCAGAGCAACCGGAAGCAAACAGTTCTGTAAACAGACTGGAACAAAGCAGGGGGTTACAGATTTGGGGGCTGTTATGCATTTAGAGGCTCCTGAAACTCCACTGGAATCCAGAAATTAAAAATGGAAGAGGGGGCAGAAAAATGGAGAAAGTGAGGGAGACTTTGCTCTCTGAGACTTTTGGGAGAGCATGTAGTGGTGGTAGAGGCGGTATACACATGTGTGATTTTAAGACCTGAAATAACAACATCCTCCAGAAACCCCAAGCATGTGCTCCCATAAGCAAGCTGAAAGTGCCTGTGTTCCTTGAAGAAGAGTGTGCTGGCTTCAGATCTGGAAGGCAAAGGGACATTCAAGGGAGTCCTCTCCTGCTCTGACCCTTGGCTCCCTAGGACTCCAGGGCATGTTCACTGCTTCTCCCAGAGGCTGCTGTCCGACAGCAGCAAAACCCTGGGAAAGCAAGGGTGATCTTCACGTGGAATAGCAGAACCTTGGCATTTCTGTGGCCTTATCACCGTTTTTTTTTTTTATCCTAATGCACTTTTTGGGTTCACGCTTCCAGCACAGCTCTTGCCGACTAGTACTTCTGCAAAAATCAAACATCCCTTGTGCTACTCCTCACAGAGACTAAACAAAGAAGCCACTCCCTCTCCTGTCTGGAAGCACTCTACTAGGACGTGGTGTCTGGTGCACACCTGCCTAGGCTCCCAGTGTAAAATCCAGGGGAAGACACTCAAGTACCAGCCTGCACTGCCAGTGTCCACCTTCCCTGAATGGGAAGGGTGTTGAAGCTTCCTCAACACTCTCAGGATTAAAGGAATGAATGGTATTATAATATTTGATGAGGGAATAAGGTCACAGCCTGACAAGGACACGGGTTAACATTAAATAGAAGACATGTTACTACAACTATCACTGCAGCCAGGATCTGACTGGCATGAGCAGTGAGCAGTTTCTCAATCTTAGCACTACTAGCATTTTAATCTGTATACTTTATGATCACAGTTTGAGGAGGGGAGTACTGTGCATTATAGGATATTAGCAGCATCCCTGACCTACCAAATAGGTGTCTGTACCACCCGCTCCCCAAACTGTGCTCATAAAATGGTCTCCAGACACTGCCAAATGTCTTAGAGGGGGCAGAGTTGTCCCTGATTAAGAACTCCTGAGTTAAATGACTCTGGATTCCTCTGTCAAGGGTCCTCAAAGCGTGCTGAAGCAGCACCTGGAGGCTTGTTAGAAATACAGGTCTTCACATCCCACCCCAGACCTGATTCAGAATTCCTGATGGTAGGACCAGAGGATTGATTATGTTTTAACAAGCCCTCCAGATGATTCCTATCCATGCTAAAATTTGAGAAGTGTTGCTAAATAGTACCCACTTGCCACATGTGGCTATTTAATTTTATTTTGTTAACCAAATTGGGCAAAACTAAAAATTTTAGCTTCTCAGTTTCTGCAGTCACATTTCAAGTGATCAGTAGCTAATGTAAGCGGTGGTTACCATTTGGAAAGGACAATTGCAGAACGTTCCATCATTGCAGAATGTTCTATTGGACCGCATCGCAATGAAGTTGCTACCAAAATGCGAATGCCTTCAAGAAACCTAATGCTATTCCTGGCCATTAGCTAAGTCCTACAGAATACTCACTGGCTACCTTATGGCATTGCATAACTAGTTTTTTTTTTGTTTTGTTTTGTTTTTAAATTTTTTATTGGATTTTAGGTTTTGGGGTACATGAGCAGAGCATGCAAGACAGTTGCGTAGGTACACACATGGCAGTGTGCTTTGCTTTTCTTCTCCCCTTCACCCACATTTGGCATTTCTCCCCAGGCTATCCCTCCCCACCTCCCCCTCCCACTGGCCCTCCCCTTTACCCCCAATAGACCTCAGTGTTTAGTACTCCCCTTTCTGTGTCCATGTGTTCTCATGTTTCATCACCTATGAGTGAGGATATGCGGTGTTTCATTTTCTGTTCTTGTGTCAGTTTGCTGAGGATGATGTTTTCCAGATTCATCCAAGTCCCTACAAACAACACAAACTCATCATTTCTGATTGCTGCATAATATTCCATGGTGTATATGTGCCACATTTTTCCAATCCAGTCTATTATCAATGGGCATTTGGGTTGATTCCAGGTCTTTGCTATTGTAAACAGTGCTGCAATGAACATTCGTGTACATGTGTCCTTATAGTAGAACGATTTATAGTCTTTTGGATATATACCCAGTAATGGGATTGCTGGGTCAAATGGGATTTCTATTTCTAAGGCCTTGGGGAATCGCCACACTGTCTTCCACAATGGTTGAACTAATTTACACTCCCACCAACAGTGTAAAAGTGTTCCTTTTTCTCCACATCCTCTCCAGCATCTGTTGTCTCCAGATTTTTTAATGATCGCCATTCTAACTGGCGTGAGATGGTATCTCAATGTGGTTTTGATTTGCATCTCTCTGATGACCAGTGACGATGAGCATTTTTTCATATGATTGTTGGCCTCGTATATGTCTTCTTTCGTAAAGTATCTGTTCATATCCTTTACCCACTTTTGAATGGGCTTGTTTGTTTTTTTCCTATAAATCTGTTTGAGTTCTTTGTAAATTCTGGATATCAGCCCTTTGTCAGATGGGTAGACTGCGAAAATTTTTTCCCATTCTGTTGGTTGCCGATCCACTCTAGTTACTGTTTCTTTTGCCGTGCAGAAGCTGTGGAGTTTCATTAGGTCCCATTTGCCTATTTTGGCTTTTGTTGCCAATGCTTTTGGTGTTTTGTTCATGAAGTCCTTGCCTACTCCTATGTCCTGGATGGTTTTGCCTAGATTTCCTTCTAGGGTTTTTATGGTGCCAGGTCTTAAGTTTAAGTCTTTAATCCATCTGGAGTTAATTTTAGGGTCAGGAAGGGGTCCAGTTTCTGCTTTCTGCACATGGCTAGCCAGTTTTCCCAACACCATTTGTTAAACATGGAATCCTTTCCCCATTGCTTGTTTTTGTCAGGTTTATCAAAGATTGTATAGTTGTATGTATGTTGTGTTGCCTCCGGTGCCTCTGTTTTGTTCCATTGGTCTATATCTCTGTTTTGGTACCAGTACCATGCTGTTTTGATTACTGTAGCCTTGTAGTATAGTTTGAAATCCGGTAGTGTGATGCCCCCCGCTGTGTTCTTTTTGCTTAGAATTGACTTGGCTATGTGGGCTCTCTTTTGGTTCCATATGAAGTTCATGGTGGTTTTTTCCAGTTCTGTGGAGAAAGTCAATGGTAGCTTGATGGGGATAGCGTTGATTCTGTAAATTACTTTGGGCAGTATAGCCATTTTCACGATATTAATTCTTCCTAACCATGAACATAGAATGTTTCTCCATCTGTTGGTGTCCTCTCTGATTTCGTTGAGCAGTGGTTTGTAGTTCTCCTTGAAGAGGTCTCTTACGTTCCTTGTGAGTTGTATTCCAAGGTATTTTATTCTTTTTGTAGCAATTGCAAATGGCAGTTCCCTCTTGATTTGGCTTTCTTTAAGTCTGTTATTGGTGTAGACGAATGCTTGTGATTTTTGTACATTGATTTTATATCCTGAGACTTTGCTGAAGTTGCTTATCAGTTTCAGGAGTTTTTGGGCTGAGGCAATGGGGTCTTCTAGGTATACTATCATGTCGTCTGCAAATAGAGACAATTTGGCTTCCACCTTTCCTATTTGAATACCCTTTATTTCTTTTTCTTGCCTGATTGCTCTGGCTAGAACTTCCAGTACTATATTGAATAGGAGTGGTGAGAGAGGGCATCCTTGTCTAGTGCCAGATTTTAAAGGGAATGCTTCCAGTTTTTGCCCATTCAGTATGATATTGGCTGTTGGTTTGTCATAAATAGCTTTTATTACTTTGAGATACGTTCCATCGATACCGAGTTTATTGAGGGTTTTTAGCATAAAGGGCTGTTGAATTTTGTCAAATGCCTTCTCTGCGTCAATTGAGATAATTATGTGGTTTTTGTTTTTGGTTCTGTTTATGTGGTGAATTACGTTGATAGACTTGCGTATGTTGAACCAGCCTTGCATCCCTGGGATGAATCCTACTTGATCATGATGAATAAGTTTTTTGATTTGCTGTTGCAATCGGCTTGCCAATATTTTATTGAAGATTTTTGCATCTATGTTCATCATGGATATTGGCCTGAAGTTTTCTTTTCTCGTTGGGTCTCTGCCGGATTTTGGTATCAGGATGATGTTGGTCTCATAAAATGATTTGGGAAGGATTCCCTCTTTTTGGATTGTTTGAAATAATTTTAGAAGGAATGGTACCAGCTCCTCCTTGTGTGTCTGGTAGAATTCGGCTGTGAACCTGTCTGGCCCTGGGCTTTTTTTGTGTGGTAGGCTCTTAATTGCTGCCTCGACTTCTGACCTTGTTATTGGTCTATTCATAGTTTCAGCTTCCTCCTGGTTTAGGCTTGGGAGGACACAGGAGTCCAGGAATTTATCCATTTCTTCCAGGTTTACTAGTTTATGCGCATAGAGTTGTTTGTAATATTCTCTGATGATGGTTTGAATTTCTGTGGAATCTGTGGTGATTTCCCCTTTATCATTTTTTATTTCATCTATTTGGTTGTTCTCTCTTTTATTTTTAATCAGTCTGGCTAGTGGTCTGTCTATTTTGTTGATCTTTTCAAAAAACCAGCTCTTGGATTTATTGATTTTTTGAAGGGTTTTTCGTGTCTCAATCTCCTTCAGCTCAGCTCTGATCTTAGTTATTTCTTGTCTTCTGCTGGGTTTTGAGTTTTTTTGATCTTGCTCCTCTAGCTCTTTCAATTTTGACGATACGGTGTCAATTTTGGATCTCTCCATTCTCCTCATATGGGCACTTATTGCTATATACTTTCCTCTAGAGACTGCTTTAAATGTGTCCCAGAGGTTCTGGCATGTTGTGTCTTCGTTCTCATTGGTTTCGAAGAACTTCTTTATTTCTGCCTTCATTTCGTTGTTTACCCAGTCAACATTCAAGAGCCAGTTGTTCAGTTTCCACGAAGCTGTGCGGTTCTGGGTCGGTTTCTGAATTCTGAGTTCTAACTTGATTGCATTATGGTCTGAGAGGCTGTTTGTTATGATTTCAGTTGTTTTGCATTTGTTGAGCAGTGCTTTACTTCCAATTATGTGGTCAATTTTAGAGTAGGTGTGATGTGGTGCTGAGAAGAATGTGTATTCTGTGGATTTGGGGTGGAGAGTTCTGTAAATGTCTATCAGGTTTGCTTGCTCCAGGTCTGAGTTCAAGCCCTGGATATCCTTGTTGATTTTCTGTCTGGTTGATCTGTCTAATATTGACAGTGGAGTGTTAAAGTCTCCCACTATTATTGTGTGGGAGTCTAAGTCCTTTTGTAAGTCATTAAGAACTTGCCTTATATATCTGGGTGCTCCTGCATTGGGTCCATATATGTTTAGGATCGTTAGCTCTTCTTGTTGTATCGATCCTTTTACCATTATGTAATGGCCTTCTTTGTCTCTTTTGATCTTTGTTGCTTTAAAGTCTATTTTATCAGAGATGAGAATTGCAACTCCTGCTTTTTTTTGCTTTCCATTTGCTTGGTAAATCTTCCTCCATCCCTTTATTTTGAGCCTTTGTGTATCCTTGCATGTTAGATGGGTTTCCTGGATACAGCACACTGATGGGTTTTGGATTTTTATCCAATTTGCCAGTCTGTGTCTTTTGATTGGTGCATTTAGTCCATTTACATTTAGGGTTAATATTGTTATGTGTGAATTTGATACTGCCATTTTGATGCTAAGTGGCTGTTTTGCCTGTTAGTTGTTGTAGATTTTTCATTATGTTGAAGCTCTTTAGCATTCAGTGTGATTTTGGAATGGCTGGTACTGGTTGATACTTTCTATGTGTAGTGCCTCTTTTAGGAGCTCTTGTAAAGCAGGCCTGGTGGTGACAAAATCTCTGAGTATTTGCTTGTTCGCAAAGGATTTTATTTTTCCTTCACTTCTGAAGCTCAGTTTGGCTGGATATGAAATTCTGGCTTGAAAGTTCTTTTCTTTAAGAATGTTGAATATTGGCCCCCACTCTCTTCTGGCTTGTAGTGTTTCTGCCGAGAGATCTGCTGTGAGTCTGATGGGCTTCCCTTTGTGGGTGACCCGACCTTTCTCTCTGGCTGCCCTTAGTATTCTCTCCTTTATTTCAACCTTGTTGAATCTGACGATTGTGTGCCTTGGGTTTGCTCTTCTTGCGGAATATCTTTGTGGTGTTCTCTGTATTTCCTGCAATTGAGTGTTGGCCTGTCTTGCTAGGTGGGGGAAATTTTCCTGGATGATGTCCTGAAGAGTATTTTCCAGCTTGGATTCATTCTCTTTGTCCCCTTCTGGTACACCTATCAAACGTAGGTTAGGTCTTTTCACATAGTCCCACATTTCTTGGAGACTTTGTTCATTCCTTTTTGCGCTTTTTTCTCTGATCTTGGTTTCTCGTTTTATTTCATTGAGTTGGTCTTCGACTTCAGATATTCTTTTCTCTGCTTGGTCAATTCGGCTATTGAAACTTGTGTTTGCTTCGCGAAGTTCTCGTATTGTGTTTTTCAGCTCCTTTAATTCATTCATATTCCTCTCTAAGTTATCCATTCTTGTTATCATTTCCTCGAATCTTTTTTCAAATCTTTTTTCAAGGTTCTTAGTTTCTTTGCATTGATTCAATACATGATCTTTTAGCTCACAAAAGTTTCTCATTATCCATCTTCTGAAGTCTAATTCCGTCATTTCGTCACAGTCATTCTTTGTCCAGCTTTGTTCCCTTGCTGGTGAGGAGTTTTGGTCCTTTCTAGGAGGCGAGGTGTTCTGGTTTCGGGTGTTTTTCTCCTTTTTGCACTGGTTTCTTCCCATCTTTGTGGATTTTTCCGCTGGTCGTCTGTGTAGTTGCTGACTTTTCGATTGGGTCTCTGAGTGGACACCCAGAATGTTGATGGTGAAGTATTTCTGTTGCTTGATTTTCCTTCTACCAGTCTAGCCCCTTCGCTGTACGACTGCTGAGGTCCGCTCCAGACCCTGCTTGTCTGGGGTGCACCTCTAGCAGCTGTGGCACAGCGAGGGATGCTACCAGTTTCTTTTTCTGCTATCTTTGTCCCAGGATGATGCCTGCCTAATGTCAGTCTTTTGGATATAGAGGGGTCAGGGAGCTGCTTGAGGAGACAGTTTGTACTTTATAGGGGTTTAATTGCTGAGCTGTGCGCTCTGTTGTTCCTTCAGGGCTGTTAGGCTGCTATGTTTGATTCTGCTGCAACAGAGCTCATTAAAAAACCCTTTTTTTTTCCCTCAAATGCTCTGTGTTGAGGGGTTTGGGCTTTATTTTTGGATGTTCGATGAGGTGTCCTGCCCAGCTAGAAGGCAGACTAGCCACTGTTTGGCTGCCGAGGCTCCGCCCTGCTGTTGTGTGATTCGCCCTGTTCCTGCCGGCTCTGCTGTGGTCTCCGCCATGCCCTGCGGCGGAGTCTCTTCGTTGTAGCGTGTTGCCTCAGCAACGGCAGGCTGCGTCAGCAGTGGGCGTGTATCTCAGTAGGGATGGGTTGCCTCGGCAACGGCTGGCTGCGTCAGCAGTGGGCGTGTATCTCAGTTGGGGCGGGTTGCTTCGGCAACAGCTGGCTGCGTCAGCAGTGGGCGTGTATCTCAGTTGGGGCGGGTTGCCTTGGTAGTGGTGGACGCCCCTCCCCCACAGAGCGTCTCGGGCCGTCTGCTCTGGATAGTTTGAAATCGCGGTTTTGTTCGGCCCACTGGGTATCCCAAACGATCTGTCCCTACAATCCCCTGGGCTGGGCTTCTGTCCAAGTCTCGTTCAGTCTCAAGTCCAGCCCTCTCAAGTCTCAGGTTGCCGGTTCAACAAGGCACCCGGACAAGCGCACCCTGTGGGGATTGCTGGGTAGGGCCGGCCGCAGCCGCCCCGGCTGCCGGCTTCGCCAGGCAGACCTACTGCCTGGCGTCCCGTGTCTTTTTTATACTTGGGAGTTTCCCCGTTCTGTGGGCAACAAAGATCAGTCTGGAAATGCAGCTCAGACTTACCGTTTGCGGATTCAACGCGAGCGCCAATCCTGGGTTGTTTTCACAGCGCCATCTTGAGTCCTCCTCCGCATAACTAGTTATAGAAGTGAATTGAGAAAAGCCTTGTTCCTTCCCCCCTCATGCTTGCATGTATGATAGGTATAATGATGCTAACCAGCCCAGAGCCCATCCAGGTAACCATCCAGGCAGCTGGTCAGAGATACAGGATGTATGGGGTAAAACACATAATATAGAGCATGCCTAAATCTTACTTTAAGGTACTATATTAAGGTATCAAAATAAAAGCAAACACAAATTCAACAACCAGGGAGAACCAAGGAATGTAAGCATATGGCACTATATTAAGGTATCAAAATAAAAGCAAACATAATATAAGACACTATATTTAGGTATCAAAATAAAAGCAATCACAACTTCAGCAACCAGGGAGAACAAAGGAATATAAGCATATGGCATCAAGTGCTTTGCAGGGACACCAGGTTTTATGGTGAGATGACTGACACTAGCCCATTCTCCTACCTCTAGGAAGGGGCCATGTATAATTTCTGGACTCAGCTGAGTGTCAATTCCAAACACCTCTGAGACCTCTTTGCAGGGTTCTTACTCTATCAAATCCATTAAGAGCGCTTAGCAGCTCCAGAGAAAAATGTAATAATCCTAACCACATCAAATGTCCAGGCAATCCCTGGAGTAGGGTAGGCAGTTGCATGTGTGTCTCGGTGTCTCCCCACTATGCCAGCAGCAGGCATCACTAATGAATCAGCCTACTCCTCCCCATGGACCCTGGATGCAGCCAGTACCAACCAGTCCAAGCTTACATACACAGGAGGACACTAGCTCACTGTCTTTGTAACTCAAATTCTTGTACTTGCCTCAGCTTCTTTTTGGAAAATCCAAATACAACTTTTCTGATGACAAGATGCTACAGGGCATTTCTCCTTTAGTGAAGCACAGAAGTGTTCCCTGGCTTTCTAAAGGAGATCACTTAACGTTTACTGCCCTCATTCCTTTTCTATCGACAAACCTTGTATTTCAGCACAAACTGTAATTCTCCTTTCCACACTAAGTTATCGGTGGAACAGTCAACATAAAAGTGCTCCTAGATTGGTTTTCAGCTCTGCTTCTTAACTTGATTCCAATGTGGATTACACCAAGCCTGGAACTCTCATGATTTATTCTCAACCAGCAATCAAATAAAACATAAAAAAAAAATACACATGGCATTCCCACCCTAGATCCCCAGATATACAAAACCCCAGCGTGAAGCAATTTCAGCAAGACTTCCTTTTCTTGTTTTTTTTTTTTTTTTTGACAAGGTCTCCATTGTCTAGGCTGGAGTGCAGTGGCAGGAACATAGCTCATTGCAGCCTCCACTTCCTGGGCTAAAACCATCCTCCCTGCTCAGCCTCCTAAGCAGCATGCACCACCACACCCAGCTAACCTTTCTGGGGTTTTTTGTTTTTGTTTTTTTTTTTAAGATGGGGTTTCACCATATTGGTCAGGCTGGTCTCGAACTGCTGACCTCAGGTGATCTGCCCACCTCAGCCTCCCAAAGTGCTTGGATTACATAGCCACTGCACCCAGCCTCAGCAATATTTCTTTGGCAGGAATCTGGTCTTGAGTAAAGTCTGCCCAGTGATGAAAAACTCTTAAACCTCTGCCAGAAAGCTCAGCAGGTCAGTGCAATTTGTCCCTTGCCTTGCTCATCTCTCCTGAGTTGGACTGAAGAGGGCTTCATCAAACAAGGAAATACAAAGGGCAAGGGCCCTGCCAGCCGAGTACCCACTTCCATGGGCAGGGGGAAGTGACCAAAAGCAAACTCATTCTTCTGGTCACCTTCATGGGTGCTGCAATCCTATGAAAAATGTCCTCCTGAGCACACCCTGAGTGCCCACTGTGCTTTAATTAGAGAAGTATGATAAAATGTAAGACCAGAAGGTGAGCTTCAGAAATGCAAACATTTAGGTCTTGAGAGTCCAGTGCTGAGAACAAGACACTGGGACCCCAATTCTGCCCATGGGAAGGGGTGAGAATGACGAGTAGTTTACAAAAATGAGGGTGTGCCAGTGGGTGCTTTGTTTTGGGGGACACTGGAGCTTCAGACTAGGGAGCTAGAAACATCTGGCCAAGAGAGGCTTCTTAAGGTTGACCAGAAAAGAGAGGGATGGAAGGTCTAGTGTGACTGGACTGCTCACCTGGAAGTGAGAGGCTGCACCTGCCCTCTGAAGGAAAAGGGCTGAGTTCTTCCCAAGAGGACAGAAGTGTGTAGCCAGTAGACTTGGTTGGAAAACAAGTCTTTAGTAACAATCTGCAGATTAAACCAAGCCAATCCACATGTACTGCTTAGCTCTGTAGTGAGGCCACACATAGTATTTATGGCTACCTTCATATTTATATAATTATTTATTTGTAAAATATATATACATTACATATATTTGTATATCAATAGTTTCCTTTATACCCATACAAATATACTTGTGAGCACATATATTTATTTACATATAAATACATACACATGCCCCAATCGAAAGGCTTAAGTATATATTTGAGTATATAATTGTTCATACACATGAATATATGTACACATTGTTACATATATTATTACATGACAGTCAATAAGGTATAGTCTTTGCATTTAGATAGTTCCAAGTTTGAATCCCAGTTCTGTCACTTAGGGAAGGTGTTCCTTGGGTAGATTATTTAATTGGGCCCAATTTCCTCTTCTGTAAGGTAGAAATAATGACATATAAATTACCATACAGATGTAAAAAACAAGATAATAAAGATAAAATATACAAAATAGATGATCAATGGCAGATACAGCTACTTATATAACTAGCACCTCTGTGTCTGCAATGAGCTGAAGAATGAATGCCTCATTCTCTGGGGTTGGTAGAAATCAGAGTAGGGGGCCAGTAGCACTTTTATTTAGGGTGTTTTGAACAAATTCGTCTAATATGTACCATCCAAAGGGCTCATAAGAGGTATCTTTTTTTCAAATCAAATGCTTCTATTTCAAGAGTGGCTCATTTCTCTTTTATAACTTAGTGATTTGGAGGAGGAATTTTCTGTTTACGTTTATAAAACACAGTTTCTGAGAGGTAAATGTCAATTTCAAACACAGGAGAACTTCCTAAGAAAGTTGCTCCCAGAAGTATTGAGGCCCCTGTTACACAGGATGCTTCTGCAGAGGCAGGGCAATCACATATGGGAATCCAAAATCAGATGAGGGCTGCACTGCGTGTTTTCTGAGGCCCCCTTGCACCTTGAAACCCACACATTCTGTGGCTTTTTAGAAGGTGCCCTCTGAGTGTGCTGCACTGTGGTTTCTGTACTGCCTTCCCACCAGCCTCCCACCCACTCCTAGAGGCTTCTATTCATCAGTTACAAGGCCCTGAAGGAATCCAATAGTGAGGAGGTGAGATTACATTCTGAGGAAATGGGTAAATTGAAATGGGCTGAGATTGAACTCAACCGGGAAGCCAGCTTCATTTAGCAGCTTGTGCAAAGTCTTATTAGGAAAATGTAGCCATCCAGAACATCGGCTCTGCCCGCACGTGGTGGGAGGGGCTTGCTGGTCACGCTGCAGGTGGAAGGCCTTCCCTTTGCAGGCTTGCACAGCCTCCTGCCAGGTCAGTGTGACCCGGGCTCTGCTCCCTTGGGTATTAAAGCAGACGTTCTGATTTAATTCTGCCCCTGCCAACAAGGCCTGCTTTCTCTGAGCATCTTTCCAGAGGAATTTTTTGCTTTGCCTCACTGTCTCCCCAGGCCATTCCAGTTTTCACCAATCTAAAGGTACAAAAACACGTCACAGTGGACCCTGGAAATAGGATGTGGAATACACTGAGTATTGGTAATAGAACTTATGTCAGTGAAGAGAAATTGGGAAAATGCTTTTGATGTGCCTTTCAAACATCCAGGAAGACGATATTGGTGACTGAGAGAGCAAGGAACGAATAAGAATAGGTGATAACAGCATAAGCATAAGCAGCAGCTGTAAAGCCTTTTCTTCCTAAAAAAAAATGACAAGAGTTCATCAAATCCAAACCCTAGTGATTAGTGGCTCCACAATTTTAAAGAGATAGGCGTTTGTGCAAGTCTCAAATTATCAGGCTTTCCTCTCTTTCTCTCTCTCTCTCTCTCTCTCTCACACACACACACACACACACACACACACAGTTAAAATATGACCTTTCTTTGTTTCAAAGAACCATTAGCCTTGAAGGAAGGACCTCTGGGTCTTTGGTTTACAGCGGCTTAAAAGCCTTTGCCATCTGTGAAAAGGTGGAGATATTTAGAGATATAACTAGGTATATTTGTGACTATGACAAGTTCTAAGATGCATGCTTATCCCATTCTAGTGGAAGCCCTGGCAATCTGGCAATTTTCAGATGAAAAATGTCATAGAAGTTTGAGTTTTGGTAATTATCCATTTATATGCTCTGGATGCCCAATGAGGGGTCAGAGATTGCCTCATTTGCTGGCTATATAGCTGTTCGTAAGTAAGCGTAATGTGACACACACTCTGTATTAGTTGATAGGGATGGGAAAATTAGTTATGTCACATCTGAAAGCCACTTTACATTCGGAGGTCATAACTGAGAGGAAAAATAACCAAAAGTTTCAGTATTCAATTTGTTTACTCTGAGCAAAATGCAATCTCTTAAACTGATGATGAGAGGTGGATAGATGAGATGAAAAAGGCTTTTAGGAGCTCACTTTAAAAGCTCAAAAGGTGTCTGGGACATTAAATAGCTGTTAAAAGCTCTCGTTGGATAATTTAAGTGTAAATGAGTATGAACTATATGGATTAAATTTCCTTAAAATACCTGTCTGAAAAATTAAGGAAAGACTATTCGAGACAAACACAGTTTACCTTTTTTCAAAACCTGAATGTTTCAAAAAAATAATTTCAGAGTTTCAATGAAAGCTAAATGCAGTCTGATTTAACTGTCCCTAGTGATCTTCCCATTGAAAGCCACAATTCAGTGATAATTATACCCACATTAAAATAAGTACATGTGTTGATACACACATACCACATAAAGTATACAAATTTAGCCTGAGCTTTTCAAAGCTTTTTCTGTCATAAATGATGTTAGAGATAAAAAATAATTCAGCCTATAAATGTAAAAATGTGAATTTAAAAAAATGTTTATAATCCGAAATAACAGTTCATTTGATCCTTTGGGGATTGTTGTTTATTCTTATTATTACTAACATTGGGAATGTTATATCTTTATAGTAAATTTTACCCACCAATTATTGTGAAAGCCCCTCCGTTTGCTACATTAATTTCTGAAGAATGTCAGTGCTTTTTCCTGAGGACAGTCACCCTTGAAATAATGCTGCTTTAAAAGACCAAATTTTTAACTTTAGCTGTTACCTATAGAGATGCCGTTCTACATTAGATGTTCATTATGCAATGAGGTTATGCACGAAAAAGCATCTTTTAAATTATTCATTATTATTATTATTGCTCTATTAAGGTCATCCTTTTGCTTGATTCTAAGATGTTTTCTTTAGAATTTAAACATTATAAGCAACATTTGGCAAAAAACAAGCTCATTATGAATATCATGTCCTCTCTATTGCCCCGTGTTTTAGAACATTTTCTTTCTTCTTAGCTCATCACGGTATGTAGGTTCAAAAATAAAAGGAACCGAGTTTGAGAAATGAGAAAATTGCGGCACAAAAAGCCCATAATGTCACTGCACATTATAGTGGCAGCTACTGGAGGCATCTGGCTGTAGAACAACTTTCTATACTTTCAATTTCTCATGTTTCATTGTTATGTAGCAGTAGAGTTTAAGGTGTCATCATCAACATAATTATTGGAGCTTTTGAGGTACCACCAGACATAAAAGATTGATGTGTGGTTTAACAGCGTGATGCAGATTCAGATATGGAATTTAGAGAATGAAAACCCATTCCAAGGATGCAGTGTCATGAGTTTACTCTCACCTCTCAGCAGCTAGGGAGCCAGGTTTAGTCCCAAGAGACCTGAAAGCTGCTGGGAACCCTTCATTCATTCAAACACTATTCTAAGCACATGGGTAAAATCGACACAGAGCCATATAATCATGGAGCTTCTGTTCTAGCAGAAGACAGACAATAACAACAGTCTCAGTGAGAAGGTAAGTCACAGGGGCTGTTAGAAGATGACAAGGGCTTTGGAAAAGTGAGAAAGTAGAAGAGAGCAAGGGAGATCAAGAGGGCAGTGGGGTGAGCAGAGTAGGTTACAACTTCAATAGGGTGCCCAGGGTCAGTATCCTGGAAAATGAGACAATGGAGCAAAGACTTGAGGAAGGTGAGGGGTTGACCAGGCATAGGGAAAGAGCTTTCCAGGAAGTGGAAGCAGGGCACACAAAGTTCTTGATGTATTTGATGAGCAGTAGAGCAGTCAGTGTGGCCAGGATTTAGAGGCAGTGGGAGAGGGGCAGGAGATGAGATCTGAGAGGAAATGGGAAGCAGGGCAGTAGACGATCCAGCTGTGCAGTCTGTCGCAGACTGTTAGGAGGACTTTTGCATCTACTGGGGTGGGGGCAGGAAAATGTCTTTTGTTGTTGTCCTTGCTGCTTTGGTTGATTGGTCATTATTACATTGTGATTGGTGGTGGTGTGGATGCTTTCATGCTCAGGTTTCAGCAGGTGAAAGATCTTGACTCCCCATCTCACTGTGCTGGGTCATTATTACGTTGTGATTGGTGGTGGTGTGGATGCTTTCATGCTCAGGTTTCAGCAGGTGAAAGATCCTGACTCCCCATCTCACTGTGCTGGGTCATTATTACGCTGTGATTGGTGGTGGTGTGGATGCTTTCATGCTCAGTTTTCAGCAGGTGAAAGATCCTGACTCCCCGTCTCACTACACTGGGTCATTATTATGTTGTGATTGGTGGTGGTGTGGATGCTTTCATGCTCAGGTTTTAGCAGGTGAAAGATCCTGACTCCCCCTCTCACTATGCTGGTGTACCCCACCCCCTTTAAAGGCTCTGCTTATAGTGATGGAGATTGTAAAGGTGACAGCCGGCATGATCAGTCTTCTGTTATGAGTCTGTATGCACTAGGCTTGTCATCTGACAGCCCAGCATTAGTGGCTTTGTTAGAGTATATACACTATCTTATACCACTTGTACTCGCAGGCCTTAGAGTCTAACAGCCTTGTCTTCAACTCTGCATTCTTTAACTCCCAACCTTGAAGAGTTTGAATCAAATGCTTACACTCTTAAAGCTTTAACTGTCTACTTTATTAGGATTATTGTGAGACATAAAAAAGATTGTGAAAAGCATGTTGTGATAATGGGGATGGTATCATAAATGATGATGATAACAATGATTTAGTCCACACAGCCTGTTTTATCACAAAGATGGATGGATGGCTCCCTGGCCTCGGATGCCTCATGATACAAGATTTATGATCCAGCTATTAGGGAAGGGCCTCTGGGTACCTCAGCTCCCTTCTAGGAAACAATGTTCCACTCTTGATGCCAAAGCACAGTTACAGAACCCTTGGAAGGGTTCAAGTTTTCAAAGCCCCCTGCCCCCAGCTTATATGCAACAATGTGTGAGGAGGGGTATCTCCAGGGGTTCAAGGCCACTGACTGACAATGTCTTGTAGTTCAGGAAGCCCATCCCTGACAGGTGCAAGGCTTTGAAGTCCTTTAGTTACTGGTGTGAGAGGGAGAGGATTCAGAACTTCCCAAGTTTCAATAACTGAAGAAATCAACAAACCATTATGCTTAAAGAGTGGATTTTTAGGTGCTGGATGCTGTGGTCTCAATTAGAAGCTCTAGAAATAACAAATGTCCACCACCTCACTCCCTGGGACTCAGGAAACCATCACCAGCAAGCAGAACCTGAAGGAAATGAGTACATTAAAACATCAGAATTTGCAGAAATATTTGATTCCTTCTGGCAGGCTCATCAATCACGAATGATTAGAAAGCTGAGTTGCAGTGGGAAAGCCTCTGTTTTGAATGATGCCTCATTTCGTTTCTATTACTAGGTGGTTATAGTTTGTAAAGAGACTTCTCTGCATATATTTTTTATTTTTGTTTTTCAACTAAATTGTTTCCTCTTATGGGAGCAAAGAAATTATGACAATGCTTAAAAATGTGAGACTGATAAATGCTCCTAGATGGCACCAATAAGTGTAAAGAGACCCAAAACATTCTTACCACACCCCTCTGTACCAGGTACTACATTTAATCTTCTGTAGTCTCAAAAAAGTAGCAAGTTCAGAGACTTTAAAAAAAAACTTCCCGAGATCACACATAAGTGGAATTTGAGACCTTGTCTTTCTGAGCTATGGCCCAGGTTGATTTCCCCTAGAAAAGAGCTTCATTCCACCTTCACATTTACCCCAAAAGGAATAGCAATGTATATTGGAATCTTCAACTCCTCTAAATCCATTTTTTTGGTCACTTCAACTTTGATAGAACTGGGGATGAGGCAGGGAACAAAGAGAAAATATCCCTTTGAGCTCAGTCTCCATGTCTTTGCCAGTCAAAAGAAAAAGAGGTTCAGTCAAAGAAATACATGATACATATAAGTTTCTGCAACAAAAAGCTTGAAGGGAACTTCATCAGAGAAAGAATCCAGACCAGAAAAAGGGATCTGAATTCTGCAGTGGGACAATCTGGCAAGAGGGAGAAAGAAGGGAGGGGCTGGCGGGAGAAAGAGGGGCTGGTGCAGGGGAGCAGGCGAAAGCCACATCATTTTCTTTATTATCCTGTCCATTTGCCTTCAACTTTATGATGTTCTGTCCATCAGCTGTTAACACCTAGTTCTCTAAAAAATAAATACAACTTGAGCAAATTAAGTGAAAAGGCTTTGGAGAGCCCAATTACTGTGTGTCCCCTGGACGCTTGGAAATGGACTTCATTTTTTCTGTAATAAACCAAATGGTGAGTGACAGCCCAGCCAAATGAGGCACGTCCCAGCTCCAGCTTCATCTGTCAGGCACATGCCGTGAGACAGGCTTTATGCATTGCCGCGGCAGCACGCACGGAGAGGTGTGTGCGCGCAAACATGCATACTTAAGCTAAATTGGAAGGCACCTGCTCCCGGGTGAGCTGCCATTTTTTTCTTCCCAATTCATCACAACAGTTGCTTTCTCTTGAAAATCTAGCAGGTTTCTGAGAAAAGTCATGTTCATTATGGAAGTTATTTATTAATAATAAATAGAGGCAAAACTCAGTTAGAAACAGATATATTTTCTCATACCGGATGCAAAGACATTAATGGATGAATGCGTTCTGCCTTCCAGTCTGGGCTCATTTCTTTAGTTGCCTTTTTAGGTATCTCTGGTTTATTCATTCATTCATCCACTCATTTATTTACTTGCTCAACAAACTGTTCATAAAAGTCTACTCTTAGCTGTGCTCTGTGTTAGGAGCAGAGTGGTTACCAAGCTGAGTAAGTAACTTTCCTCTACCAGAATTCTGATCTGGCTGGGAGAACAAACATATCCAAAGTCAAATATCTAAAATATCAAGTGTTTTATATTCTATTAGCACATTCCCTCTGAAGAATGATAGGTCGTCTTGTACTTTCAAATGGGTAGTATTTGCCCCATGGGTTTCTTCTGATGGGTGAGCCATATCTACACACCAGCATTTCTATTTTCACACCTAATTTTGTGGCATTGAGACAGCTGAGAAGTGTGCCTTTTCTTAAGTGTGGTGTGAAACCCTTGTTCTCAAATCTCTGGATACTGAAAACTTGTCTGGTTCTATAATCATCCATTCAGCAAATCACTGTGGAACATCTTTTTCACACCAGGTATTGCACTAGATGCTAAAATTCTAGGGGTAAACACATCTCACACAGTCCTTGTCCTCATATAGTTTTTACTCTGTCAAGGGAAATAGACATCAAACAAATAATTATGCCAATAATTACTTAATCACAGCTGTAATTAAGTGATATAATGGCAAATGGCAGAATGCTTTAAGAGTGTTAAATGAGGACCTGACAGTTTGGGGGAAGAGGGAAGATTCCAGAAAGGCATTCATGAAATTTACAATAGGAATTAGTCATGTGAAGAGGACATAGGATGGCATTTTAGGTAATTGTTGCTTATTGTTGTTGTTCCCATGTAAGTATGTCTTTCCCAAGAGTGGATGGGTTTGGATCTTAGACACCGGTGGAGGTTGTTAAAGTAGGCTGGCCTTGGGAGCAGTTAGAATAGGTAGTCATGGAGTAGCATTATTTATAGGGAATGGAGTCTCATATTTTGGTTCCAGAACTTGATGTATCCCTTTGGTCCTAGAGAAGGGCCATTGCTTTAGATACCATGTGCTTCAGTCTTACAGCAGCCTTTATTCACATGAATGGCTAGCGCTCAGAAATTCCTTCAGTAAATGGACATGAGAAGGTGCGTGAAGCTTAACAGCAGACAAAGGGTAATTCGAGGTGAGATGCATGTCAAATGTGTGTCAAAATCCATCTTTTCCTACTTCAGCTTCACCAATACACATATGTGGATAGCCAGCATTGGCATCACATTATGATGCCCTACTGACATACTTCATGGCACTTTATGATCCAAGTCTATTCATGCAAAAATTGAGAGACCAAGATAAATTCAATGAGCTACTCTGCATCACATCCTGCGCCCAGAGTAAACTCCAGAGACTTTCAAAATCCTAACCTACGACCCTTTTGACCATGCCCCAACTGCCCCTTGTCAATGATACTGAATGTAGTAGAATCCACACAATGATATTGAGTGCAGTAGAACACACGGTAGTATAGACTTCCATCATACATTCATTCAGTCACTAAGTGAGGCTTAGTGACAGTGAATTGTCCATGGTCGCAGAGCTACAGGCAGATCTAAAATTAGAATCACAGTTGGATAGTTTAAACCTTTTAACTTGCATCATCATTATCACCGTTAATTATTAGAAGAAACATCTGAAAACTGTGATATTTATATGTGATAATACAACAATACAGTGCAATGCGATGCCATATAATACAATGTGCCAAGTGAAATGCTAAGTGCTTGAGATAAAATGGTGAGCAAGATAGACAGGCTGCCTTCCCCAGCAGACTTTATAATCCAGTGAGGAAGACCAACAGCTAAATCAGCTATTACAATAAAGCATGGTAGATGCTCTGAATAGAGAAAAATCATGCCTTGGGAGCTCAGAGTAAGGAACTCCTAACCTTGCCTAGGGTCATTAAATGCAGTTGGAGTTCTTAATCACAAAGCTTAGAGGTGCTGAGTAGATGGGTAAAAGAGGGAAAAATATGTTTCAGGCAAAAGTGCAGCCTGAATGAAGACCCAATGGCTAGGTAAAACAGAGCATGTTACAGGGTTCAAGAAGGCTGCAGTGAAGTGTGAGGGAACAATGGCAGGAAGGAAGGATGCCATAAGGATGCCTGGTCCTCTCATATTAAAAGATAATCATAGTGACAGCAATGTATCTAGAAGCCCCGACCCCCAAACAGCATTTTACAGTCTGCTTTCTTCTTCGGTTGGCATTGCCATCTAAGTCTGGATAGTACATGCAGACTTAGGGCACCAATGGCAATCTCAGATACCGTTTTCTTTGAATGCATACATGATTAGCATCAGAATTTGAAAGAATCTCAGAAGTCGTCTAGTTCTCCTGACCCTAGCCCAACTGCTGCCGTTTCACAGATGGAAAAAGTAAGACTTAGTGACAGAGTGAATTGTCCGTGGTCAAGAGCTACAGGCAGATCTAAAATTAGAATCACGATCTGACAGTTTAAACTCTTTAAAGTGGATCATCATTATCATCATTCATTACTAGGAGAAACATCTGAAATCTCTGATACTCAATTTTTACCTCCTGACTTAAAGCCTGTTAACTTGCTTAGTATAAAAGACAGCATTTAGATGGAGCTTCTCTAGGCATTCCTCTGATAAATCATATGAGTGCATTTCAGGAGCAACATCTGAACTATGTGATCCAGGCCTCACTTCTCAGTCATCGGTGCTGCCAGGGTCCCTCCAGCTACCGGTCCTAAGACATGAACAGGTCACCGTAGCTGTGTGGACATTGTGAGCTTGTGGAGGGTAAGTGTGTGCCGCATCCATTCCTAAGACAGGAACAGGTCACCGTAGCTGTGTGGACATTGTGAGCTTGTGGAAGGTAAGCGTGTGCTGCATCCATTCACAAACCTTCTGATCAGAGGACTCTCCCGAGGCAAGGCATTTCTTGTTTTCATTTTGAACCAGTGGGTCACAGCTGGCAAACAAGCATACCAGGATACACAGAGAGACGGTGCATTGAGCAGGAGAACACAGCCTTTGCTCAGCCCTAGTGATCTCTCAGGGTGACACTGGGTGCTTGCTTTTTGGAACAGCCTATAAACAGCTTTTCAAACCCACTACCCTTGATTTATTAGTGGCTTGGAATTGCAAATGTTTCTGAGAGCACAGGGTGTTCTCTTCCTCTCTTAGCATACTTTCAGAACTTTAACTGAAGAATCATAGAATCCAGCAGTTTAAGACCCGAAAGCACCTTTGATCATGTAGTTTTTATATTGTATAGCTCAGGAAACTGAGGACTCCAGAAATTATGCAGTTTCCTAAATGCTTCATCGCTACATGGTAGTAGATACAAACTGAATGCATCAATGTCTCTAAGAAAGAGAAACGGGAACAGACCTCAGTATGGCGAGCTCTGCTTGCTGTCTTTAACCACGCTGATCTTTAATGTACCGCTCACATTCATTGAGAATTGATGACGTGTTAGGCACCATGGGAAGCAGTTTTTTTGTACATTGTCTCTTTGAAACCTTGAAATAGCCTTATGAAATATAGCCAATATCGTCACGCTGATTTATAGAATAGCAACATTTATTAAATGTTTACTGTAGGCACTAGACATGATTCTACCTCATGTATGGGCCTTAGCTCTTGTACTTCTCATAACAGTGTTAGAGTCTCTACCCCACCCATCAGGACGCTGGGTCTAAGTGAGTATACACAACTTGTGCAAGATTACAGAGCTGGCTGGGATTTGGGGACAGACAGTGAACCTGGCCCCCACTTAGTCATTGCACTGTGACATCTTACGAGGAGGATCTCACCTCCAGCTTGTTGGAATCCAGAACTCTTTTTCATTCACACCTTGAATTTGTAAGCACAAAAGTCCTAAACTTATAAGCACAAAGTATTTTTACACCAAGTGGAATTTTCTTGAGATTCTTAATCATCTAGGATAATTCTTAAAGACAAAAAAAAAAAAAAACCTTAATGTTTTTCCTACTCTTTTGTCTCATGCAACACAACACTTCTGACATCAGATGTATGAGAAATTTTACCCCCACACCAACCAAGTGACGCTCATGAGGACTGGGCATTCTCCAATTCGGTTCAATTCTGACACTGTCTACCTGGAGATGGCGTCATACCCTTCAGGCTGAGGCTCAGCCCACAAGACGGCTTCCCACTTCAGGTGCTAGTTGTACCAGCGCTGCTGCTGATCAGCGTTGCCAGCATCTCTGCCTCCCCTTCAGGTTTAATGCATTTACTGAATGGATCACAGAACTGAAGGAAACACTTTCTTTCCATACACTTCCCAGTGTATCAGTAGAGGATATAGAGGAGCAGTCGGCTGGAAGAGGTGTGTGGGGCAAGGCAGGGGGAGGGGAGTAGAGCTTCCAGGCCCTCTTCTGGAGCGCCACCCTCAAGGACCCTACCAGTCTTCAGCAACCAGAAGCTCTTCAAACTCTGTCTTTTGGGGTTTTTATTGGAGCTTCATTCGTTTGACATAATTGATTATATCATTAGCCATTGGTGAGCAACTCAACCTTCACCTCCTCTCCCCTCCTAGGAAGTAGAGGGTGGGACAGAAAGTTCCAATGATCTGATCACAGAATTGGCTCTCTTGGCAGCCAGCCACCATTATGAGACCATCCTGGGGCACCAGTCGCCAGGCATCTCATTAGCCTACAAAAGACACTGTCACTTTGGAGATTCCAAGGGTTTTTCAAAGCAGTGTTCCAAGAAAGAGGACAAAGACCATATCTAAATATATATGTATGTGATACATATGTATATTTCTTATTATAGATCACAATATCACAATAATACAAAAGTAATATTTTCTTTTCTTTTTTTGAGACGGAGTTTCGCTCTTGTTACCCAGGCTGGAGTGCAATGGCGCGATCTTGGCTCACTGCAACCTCCGCCTCCTGGGTTCAGGCAATTCTCCTGCCTCAGCCTCCTGAGTAGCTGGGATTACAGGCACGCACCACCATGCCCAGCTAATTTTTTGTATTTTTAGTTGAGACGGGGTTTCATCATGTTGACCAGGATGGTCTCCATCTCTTGACCTCGTGATCCACCCACCTCGGCCTCCCAAAGTGCTGGGATTACAGGCGTGAGCCACCGCGCCCAGACGAAAAGTAGTATTTTCTTATCCCGAAGTCATCTAAGGTCAGCATCAACTGATCAACTGATTTTCCATGTTTCTGAGGAATAATAGCTACAGTGAAGACAGCGTTCTCTCCTGTCCCTAGCCTGTTACTCACCGGCTGTTTAGAAAACTAAGATTGCTTTTGCTCTTTAGGAAGTGTTTTTAATTCTGAAGGATCAAGAAACTAATTGTCAGTTTAGAAATATCAACACGAAAAACCCAAACACACAAAACCCAAGAAACTTACTGTTTGCATAGTTCTGTTGTGTGTTTGTGTGTGTTTTTCACAGGTGCGAAGTCAGGCCATGGGGCCTGTTGAAGTGTCCACTCCTTGGCAGCTTTAAATTCTCACTGGTGCCCATATATCTTAACATCCTTCTTTATGAAGACTTGATGGACATCACGTGATCCAGTGTTTCCTCACTAACTTCTTCTCTATCAGAGAATGGAGAATAAGGGTATGTTTAAGATGCCAGGGAGGAAATACCCACTTGTATGAATGACAAAATAGAAATTTCAAATGCGGGCTTACAAACAATTTACACACAATTCAAAGGATCAGTTTATCGGTTTTCTTTTAATCTGACATTCAGATAACAATACACTTGCCTTAATTATTTCTTGTCCTTTTATTTTCAGAATATATATTTTGTAAAACTTAAATATTTCCTAATTGAGGGTGTCAATTATTAGTTAAGATGAAAAAACTCCCTTGTTCTTCCCATATTTTTAAACTATTTCGCAATGAATAGAAATTATGTTATATAAAAGGCTTAGCATAATCTGACAGCTAGATACAGATATACCTCATTACCATGGTCTCCACAAATCCAAAACTGTATAATAATTCATAGGCAGGATTGACCAAAGATTGCAAATGATTTACCCTTCTTCGTAATTTATCTTCTAGTTCTACCTCTTCATAGATATAGCTCACAACTACTTTTGGCTGTATTTTGAAATAGTAAAGTCCTGTGTCAGAAGCCCTTGAGGTGAACACTGAGGGGAACACTGATTTCCACCTGTTCTCTTAGCCTCCTGATGCCTCATGGCTTTCACCTGAAAGGCAGAGATACTCCTGGCCTCATAGACACTGCGAGGCAATGGTTGAGAGAGGAAACAGCAGCAAAAGGAACTCACGTTCAACTCCCCCTTCTTAGTAAAATACATTTTGAATCTGTTGAGAACTCACTTTATGACTCCGCATTTGTTTCTTGCAGGGCTGCAAGGCAGCTGTCATTATCCTTGGTTCACAGATGAGGAAACTGATCCCAAAGAGACTGAGTAACTTGCTTGGAACATGTATAACTGAAAGCGTGAGATTTGGAGTAAACCTAGTTTTGAGTAGTAATTCTACCACCAGTTACTACGGGCTTTCTGGTCTCAAGCAAGTTACTCATCATCTCTCTGAACCTGTCTCTGCATTTGTGTAATGGTGGCATGACAGTATCTCCTAAGTAATACCAGAACCTCCTAGTGTTCCTGTGTGAAACACAAGCCCATTCAGGTCCCATGCTCAGCCTTGACACACAGAAGATACTAAACAAGGGGAGCTACTTTTAATTGTGGGTCAAGATCACACTGCTGATAAGTGGAAGCCCTAGGCTGCACCTCCGGGAGGGAGGCTGCAAAGCCTGTGTATTCTCATGGCCACTTGCTGCCTTCTGCACAAGCCCACCCAGAGGTTATGTTGTCTATGAGATGAAGCAGTGTGTTGGGTCCTGGCAGGATCACTTGGCAGGTATGACAGAGCCCGTGTCTGTGATGCCTGGTTTCCACCTGAGCTTCCACAAGGTTTATTGGGGCCCAACTTGCAGGGTAACTGAGCAGGTTGCTACTGGAAGAAGTTTATCTGGCAGAATCATTACCTTGAAACCATCAAAAACAAGGGATGCAACAGTTCCCAATCTCAGGTACTTAGGCACAATGAGGGAGGGCAAGACCCTTCTGCCATCCTCTGCTGTGCAGTGGTCCACTGGAGTCTTTATATGTTGGAAAGGGATACACAAAGGGTGAAATAGGTCCTTCTGATAGCAGTCACAGGACACCACAGATGATTGTTATTCATGGGGGGACCATAGAAGCCCCAGTCCAATTCCATGTTTTACAAAGGTTGAAAGCAAGACAGATTGTAGGAATAATTGCCCCAGCTGATCTAGCTAACTCGTGGCAGAGTGAAAAGGATGGAGGATGGGTTCAGTTGACAAGTAGGACAGGCCACCTCCCGTCTACTCCACCTAGTGCAGGAGGGAAGGATGGCTTCAGCCGGAGCTGGAATGGCTGACCTCCTCTTGACACACAGAGCTCTGGATGACGTTCCCTCTGCAGAGACCCCTCCTTGATTATTCCACCTGTATCATTCCTGAATTTTTGTCTAATTATTCATGTCTCTCTGTCATTTCACAGTAGTTCTCAGGGGCTGACAGTGAATTACTTTTTATTGTGTGTTCATTGTCTGCCTGTTCCACTGGAATATAAACTCCATTAAGGCTTGGGAGCTTTGTTTTGGTAACAGCTAAATTCCCAGCACATTGAACAATACCGATTCATAAACAATCAAAAAACCTTCATTGAATAAATGAATGGCATTAAATACTGACCTAAAAGTTAGTAGGTAAATATGGGCAGATAAGTTTAGAGAGGCAGTAAGAAGGCAGACAGAGACCTCCAAACCTGTTTCCCAGGCATAGTGGCTTTAGCCAGTGTTGACCTTTTCTGATCTGGAAACACAGCACAGGAACAAAGTACTCCAAGTTCCTCATCTCCTGCCATTCCACTACCTTAGCTCTCTGAAATTCCAGAAAATCCCACCTTTTTCTTCTCTCCTTCATTTACTTTTTCTTCTTTGCCTTTTCTGCACTCTGCTTGGACATAAAACTGCTCATCTTCTGAACAATGCATCTTCCTGGTGTCAGGATCCTGCTCTCATGCAACTTATCTACTTACCTGTGATAAATTGGAATAAGATATGGCTACCCAATTTATCTCAGGAAAAGCTTAGAGCAATGGGGGAGAAAAATTCATCAAAATGTTTGACCATCTTGAATTGTAGGTAGGACCTAGTCATTTATTAGGTGTCAAGAATTGTGCTAAATCTTAGAGATGTAAAGTAGACTAAAATGCATAAAATATACTTCCATGCTATGGAATTCAATTCAACTGTAAAAAAAATAAGCATGCATTTTTTTCCTTCCAACTTTTATTCTAATTTCCAATAGCACATGTGCAGGTTTGTCACATGGGTAAATTGTGATCCTGAGAGTCTGGTGTAGAGATGATTTTGTCACCCAGGTAATCAGCATAATACCTGCCAGGTGGTTTTTCAGTTCTTACTCTTCTTCCACTTTCCCCTCTCACATGGCCCCGCCCCATCTATTATTGTCTTCTTTGTATACATACATACTCAATGTTTAGCTCCTACTTGTAAGTGAGAACATGCAGGACTTGGATTTCTGTTTCTGCATTAATTTGCTTAGGATAATGGCCTCTAGCTCCAACCACGTTTCTGCAAAGGACAGTTTCATCCTTTTTATGGCTGCATAGTAATCCATAATGTATATGTACCACATTTTCTTCCTTATTCAGTCCACTGTTGATGGCCATCTAGGTGGACTCCATGTCTTTGCTATTGTGAATAGTGCTACAATGAACATATGAGTGTATGTGTCTTTGTGGTAGATCAATTTATATTCTTTCAGGTATATACCCAACAAAGGTATTACTGGGTTGAATGGTAGTTTTATTTTTAATTCTTCTATATGTAATGACATGGGAGATATTGGAACATACTGTTAAGTGGAAAAAATAAGTTGCAATTTGGCAAACATACATTACTAACTTGTTTTAAAAATATCAGTGTATCTATACCTATACCTGTATGCCTATGTCCAAGTACATTTCTACATCTATAGGTCAGATATATATATATCCAGAGATGTCTGAGAGATTGTGAATACAGAAAACCATCTTTAAAAGCATACAACAACTGATACAAGTGGCCATCTCTAAAAGAATGAGATTGCTGAGGGTGGAGATTTTGCTTTATGTACTTTGGTATGTTTCCAATATTTTTATGTGAAGAGAAAAATATTTGCAGTGTAAAAACCAGAGGCAAAAACAACAACAGAAAAGGGTATTAATGAGTGTCTTCCCTTCTGCCCCCAAATAAACCATGCTCCTGTTATTAAGGGAGACAGAGGCAGATAAGTGTGGAAATCAGTGTGCAAACCTCTGCCCACGTGACATGCATAGGATGGAGCGACGCTTAAAGGAGAGAGGGCTTGTTTGCCACAGTCAGGGCGACATCTCGGGGAAAATGTTCTTGAGTTGATTCTTGAAAAGTAAAGAGTTGAGCATGGAGATGGGAGCTGAATAGGAGTGGGGGAAATGGCACTCATCTAAGCAATGCAGAATTATTTGGCTAGATGGAGGGTACCATGTGCATGGGACAATCTCATGAAGGCTGAGTCCAGACTATGGAAGACTTCTCTTCAGGAGTCTCTCCCAAGTCAGTGCAGAAATTGAGTCTGTTTATTCCTTCATTTCATAAATATTTTTCAGCACTTACTGGCTGTTAGAGTTTTACTAAGTATGAGGATTTAAAGATAAATAAGAAATATAGATCTTGCCTTCTTGGAGACTTTGGTAGACTTGGATAATTTTCTTTTCTTCTCAAAAAGGACACGTAATGGCAAACTGCAGTATGAGGTGCTGATAGTTAGCATTAATTAAGGATTAGAGGCCTTTAGGGGACATCAAGGTATTTCTGAAGGATTGGTCATTCAAATCTATAATTTAGAGCAGCATGGACATTCCATTTTGTAGCATACTTGGGAAGGATGAAGATGTGTAGGTGGAACCAAGATGTCTTAACACAAACATTGGAAGAGCTGTGCACTCCCCTCCCCTCAGTCCTTTTGTGAGATAGAGGGTTGGTTTGTTTAGCTCATCTGTCCAGCTAACTGTTCTCCTGCCTGTCTATCACTGGATTTCCATCACTAAGCGACTGCAGCATCACGTGTCTATGTTGAAGCATTGAACTGTGAATCTTATTACAAGAAAAAAAATTCTTAAACTAAAAAACAAGAGAGAATTGATCACTTATAAGACAATAATAAAAGCAAAGGTAATTTCCAAGAGCAACACATAACAATATATTGTTCTTTTTTTCCCCCAGAGCTAATTTTAAGCAAGAAACTCTTGTAAGATCCTTTAAAGAATGCCACCTACAATTCCCTCTTGCCACCTACTCCCCACCTCCTGCATAAGTCAGGCTCTTATTCATTTCCTGAGTTGTTTGTACCCCTCAAGACCTAGGTTTGCCCAAATTTCTGTGTGAACTAGAGCCTACTATTCCTTGAAGTTAGCCAGCTTAACATTTTTTTTTTATATATGCATTACTTTGTTGCTGGGAAAGTAATCTTTCTGTTCTCTTATCCATCACGTTGTTTGTACTTCTTTGTGTATAGCAGAGTAAGCTATTTATTTAAATGCTTTGAGTTATGTACCTTCCCAGGTAAACTATTTTAAGATACAGAGATGGATTTAGGGATTCGTATACTATCATTACTGGAAAAAAACTTGCAGCTCATTGGTTCATAGGCACACCATCCAGAATATACATATTCTAAGCCTCATCATGCATTCAAACGGCCTCTGCCAGATCCTCCCTGAGCATGTCTGCTGCTGGACACAGCTCCTACGGCTCCCAGTATCTGTGGCTATGGGAATGGGCCTCATCCTGTCGTACTCCTTTGGTCTCCCAGTAAAATCTACATGCTAATACAAGTTCTGCCCTGGGAGACAGCAGAATAAGTGTGATTCCACCTCTCCACAGTGCTTCACATGCTCCCACGTTGCCCTCTTGTCTCCCCTGACAATGCCTTTCTTCATGTCCCTCTAGTTACCGATCCTGAAGTTCTTCTTGTTTCTGGTTTTTTTACGCCCACTATTCTTGGTTTGCACAGTCTCCTATTACATGTTATCCCCAGATATGGGCTGCCTAGAGTGAAGCAGAGCAGGAGAGCAGGAGTTTTACCTCTCTTGTTTTGATTCTTCACTTGTTAAATGTACCTACCGTGGAAACAAAATGCAATCTATGATCAAATATCCTTTTGTCGGTAGCCATTTCGCTTTTTAAAACTCAGAACTGTGAGAAAACTGCAAAACTCTTGAAGATTTTTCACACATATTGTTATGAAAACACATCTCCCCATTGGGTGTTTAAGTTATTACACAGGACCTACAGCAATCGTAATGGAATAGGGTTTTAAATAGCTTCATCATATCCATCAATATAAAAATCATTGAATGAGATAGAAACCCTTTGAACCGATATTGGAAGGATATCAAAGTGAGTTTTTATTTATTCTAGGAAGGTTAAAAAACATAATTTCATTTATTTTCTACTAACATAAAAACTGTAAACTTTCCACGGGGAAAGGAGTACTTTAAAAATAGCTCATCTGTCTGGGTTGATATGTTTTGGGCTAGGCTTGGAAGTTTTGTGCAGCGAAGCCTTTTGGAGGAAGGCATTTTAGTGTCTGCCATGTGCCTTCTTTTCAGGCTATAAATGTCCCAGAATATATGCCTGTTTCTCCCTTTTTCACCTGTTCTTTGACTAAAGGCTGTTTAAGGAGCCATCCTACTCAGATTGCGCTTACCCCACAGAAGCAAGGCATCAGTAAAGTTGATCACACACAGGCACTTGTGAAAGAGATGGTGACTCAGACTTGCTGGATCTCAAGCTCTTGCTAGATCAATACTCGCTGCAACAGTGTAGCTATTGACTTGGAATTCATTGCCATAAACACCATTTGTCAGCCTTCCAGAGAGAAGAGTTCCATGACCAACCTAAAGACTGGCTCACTCCTGTGATTAGTCATTCCCATCTAATTGAGTGAGTGCTTATTATCTAGGCATTTCCAGACCTTAGTCACCCGTGAGCAGCAGTGAGATGTGGTAATGAGTCTGCACTAGTGGGCTTAGTGTTAACGGCAGCTCTCCTATTGTCACGTTTATTAGGCAGGCACCATGTGCTGAGTTTGGTAGAGGACTTTGAAAGGACAAGGTTGCTGCCTTTAATGAGTGAACATATTAAGGTTTAATGATCTCTTACCAAAGAATTGATCCTTTCTTAGATAAAGGACAATATATCACTCTAGAAATAAAGTAACACTTTAATAGTTTTACCTCACCAAGCCTTTCAGAATTTCATCGAATAAGATTCCAAGGATTCATTATACCTGATGGTATCACTCAGATGCTGGTAAGGGAGGGAGACAGTGTAATGGAGAAAAATTTTTTGTCTGCTGAAATGCCTTATTGTATAAAATATTTTATAGGTGTTTCAATAGACTCTATCTTCTGATGTGGGGAAAACTTTGTTTAACTAAGAAAGCACATTTCCGAGAGTGCTGGTTTGAAGTAAAACAATGCACTCCCAGTTTGATTGGCTTCCCTGGTTCTGCAGTCTCTGCATCCTGTCTTTATTTGAAAAGGCAAGATGCCCTCTCTTTGAGTAATGTCAAATTGTACACAGAATTGCGCCTGCTTCCAGTAAGCCACTGGGGTCACTGCAGTTACAGGAACAGGTCCTTATGCCTCAGACATGTAAATAAATAGCTCTTTAGTATTTCAGAGGCTTATCAATTCTGAGTGCCCAACCACAGTGCAGCTGGGCAATTGACCACACATTTTGGCTCACGGATTACTCTTTCTTTGATGTGCTCTAGCTGTGGGATGGTCTCAACTGTCCCTCACCCTCCTCACTAGCATTGCCCTTTTCTTCCATTACTCTATGCTGGCTTTGCATAAGAGGAAAGAAATAATATTTGACTGTCAATAAACCTCTCAGTGAGCAGAGCTATTAAGGAACAAAGTACTTTTACATTTCAGAGTTGGTGCTTAGGTCACCAAGCTATCCACTCTTGTATCAAGAAGCAGTCTACCTGGCAAGAGAGTTAGAAAATAGCCTTCACCAAGGGGCTTAGATTTTGTCTTGTCACTTTTGAAAAGATTAATATGTATGAGCATCTCTCTCGAGCCTCTGAAAGGATTGCTGGGTGGAGGGTGGAAACCCAGTCACCGAAATCCCCATGGAGAAACGATAAGGAGTTGGAGTGAACAGCTGCTTGAATGGATGCATTAAGCTGACATTAAAATCACCAAAGTGTTTAAGAAATCCACTAATAACACCTAGCAAGGCTCAGGGGCAGAATCGATTTAGGGAGTTCAAGAAATTCCACACCTGGTTTGGTGCAGTAAACCCCAAAGTCATTATGAAGAATTAGTTAAGCCCCTTGTTCCTCCTGCATTTATTTTCCCTGATCCTATTTAGTTCCTTCTTCAATTTGCGAATACACAGGTGTATGCTGATCTCAGCAGCTCATGAATATTTGAAAACTAAACTTTCTTGCAAAGGAATTTAACAAACAAAAGTTTCAAAGCACTGCCTTAAATTCACATTGTCTGACCCCTCAAGCCCAAGGAAGCATTTGGTAATGCTTTGACTAAGAGAAAAGGTGGAAATACTGTAGTCTGTGACTGTGGACCTTTCAGGGCCACTGTCGGTTTAGTATGACAATATGCATCATTCATGTGACAAGCATTTATTGAGCACATACTATGTGTTAAGACTCTGCTTGGTGCTGGAGAATATAGCTATGAAGAAGACAAATGTATCCCTAGTCTTTATAGCGCTTATAATCTTATGGGAAGATGAAGATATGTAAGAGGCATAAGCAGGCAATTTTAAAATATAGAAGTAAATGTTATTTTTGAAGATAAAGACCATTTCCATGAGAACTTTTAATCCTGTACTTCTTCCCATACTAATTTAATCCTACACAGATACCATGGAGATGTTTTATTAACTGTGTGATTGATAGTAGAACATATTGATTGATTTTGTCCCTGGCACTTGATTGGGTGTCATAATGAATGCTGGAAATAGAATCCAAAGGAACTTTAATATATTTAAGGGCCAGGCATGGTGGCTCACACCTGTAATCCCAGCACTTTGGGAGGCTGAGTTGGGTGGATCACAAAGTCAGGAGTTTGAGACCAGCCTGACCAACATGGTGAAACCTCATCTCTACTAAAAATACAAAAATTAGCTGGGCATGGTAGCACATACCTGTAATCCCAGCTACTCAGGAGGCTGAGGCAGGAGAATTGCCTGAACCCAGGAGGCAGAGGTTATAGTGAGCCAAGATTGTGCCACTGTACTCCAGCCTGGGAGACAGAGAGAGACTTCATCTAAAAAAAAAAAAATTATTGGGAGGCCAAGACGGGTGGATCACGAGGTCGAGAGATCGAGCCCATCCTGGTCAACATGGTGAAACCCCATCTCTACTAAAAATACAAAAAATTAGCTGGGCATGGTGGCACATGCCTGTAATACCAGCTACTGGGGAGGCTGAGGCAGGAGAATTGCCTGAACCCAGGAGGCGGAGGTTGCAGTGAGCCGAGATCGTGCCATTGCACTCCAGCCTGGGTAGCAAGAGTGAAACTCTGTCTCAAAAAAAAAAAAGAAAAACAAAAAAAAAATTATATATATATATATATATATATATATATATATATATATTTTTTTTTTTTTTTTTCTGGTTTTTCAAAGCCAGAATGAGGTTCTGCAAGGAAAGCTGGGGTTTTGCAGAGAGGCATACATACATACATGCAGAGGATTCCAGCATCTTTTCTTATGGGTGCTCTTCTTACTTAAGCAATGGCCTCCAATGAGCATTTATTGAACCCCTACTGTCTGCCATGCACAATACAGGAGAAGACTTTTAGGTATTAGAATAATGGTGGTGTCAATGCTAGGGTAACTCTAAATTGGAAACAGTCCAAGTTTTACTAAAGAGAAAAGATCATTACATTTGAAGGTACTAGCATTTTCCCCTATGAGTATCCTCCTCCCTGCAACAATGGAATTCAGTAAATATATATTAAGCACCTACTACACGCAAAACTCATGCACTCTGGAATCTTACAACTTACTAAGAGAGAATTGTGTATAGATTTAATTTGCTACAAGAAAGAACTAAATGGATCTCATAAAAGTGGTGCTGTTAATAATTCTATTGGAGTAGAATGGAAACAGGGATTGATACCAATCACGAAAGGCTACGTGAAGGAGTTGACATCTGAGCTGCCCGCTAAGTGTTTCAGCATGCAGAGCAGTGAATTCCACGCTAGAAGACAGCTGAGCAAAGCCACAGACACAGCAAGCAGGTAGAGAGATTCAGGGGCATTACAAATGTGTCCCTGGAGCAAGATTCTAAAGGGGAAATGTGGTGGGGAGGAAGCTGAAAAGGTCAGGTGGGACCAGGTCATTAGCACAGATTTTGAATTTCATTCCATAGGCAATACGAAATTTTCAAAGGATCCTGAGGAAGAGGCTTTTGTGTTTTATCAACCTACTATAAGGGCAAAGTGAAGGATGTATTGGAGATGGAAGAGTTTTGGTGTTGTGGGGTAGTTGTGGGGTTATTATAACTCATTCTAACTTCATCATCCTGTGATATGGCCTGAAGTAAAGCTAGAGTGATCATTATAGAAAACTGAAGCAATGGCCATTGGCTTCAACGAGTTGAGGGAGTCAGGTCTGGACAGACTTAGACAGTCACATAGAGGTATATTAGCTTCTCCCCTACCTCAGCTAGGCAACATCCTTTCTCAAAAAGCAAAAAAAAAAAAAAAAAAAAAAAGTGGGCATTTATATCTAGAACAGCCTGTTGCTGAATCCAGTAACTTAAAAGTATTGTGCTTTTGAAAATCTCCTCTTTTTCTAAAGTAATAGCTTGTATTTTTCTGAGTGTTGTTTTCTTTTTCTTTCTGTTTTTATTATGGGGCATACAGGACATTGATTATTGTTGTTATTATTGTAATTCTTAAAATTACATTTTCTTTCAATCATAAATCAATGCATTATCTCCCCTCAAGCCACTTCTTCTATTTAAAGAGCCAGATCGATTTTTACAGGATATGCTGACAATAAATCTTTGGGTCTTATTTTATTCCTTCTGAAGACTTTGGATCAGAATTATTATTATCATTATTTATTATTTATTGAGTGCTGTCAGTGGGCTCAGCAGTATACAAATATAAATGGGTAAACATCATCATTAAATCTGTTTCCAAAAGGAGCAGGTGTTTATCATGAAAGAAAGTATTTGAATTACCAAAATAGTGCCCATTAGTGGTTTTCATTTCCTGGAAAATATTGTCTTTGTGGTCATTCAACTCCTGTGGCATTTCGAATGGAATAAATGGGGGCAATCTCTAATTTCTGGCTTGTTTCCAAGTCGGGAATTACCTCTTGCTTTTTGAAAGTTACCCATAATTTAATTGCAGTAGCTCTGGCTTGATACCTTCTAAGACTCTCTCTTCATTAGTGACTTAAACAAAGCCCAGCTCAGTTCTTTGGGGGAGATACTTTTACTCAGTCCTTGGATTTCTCCTCTTGGCCAACTAAAAAGAAGCCAACCCACCCAGGTGCTGACTTTTTTTATGAAAAGGAGGGATTGTAACCAGGAATGTACAGACCCAGGATTCTTCTGGTTCCACTATCTGTGACTGGAAAGAGACAGGTGAGTCTCTCATGTACAATGTTAGAGGCATGCTATAGCATCCTCCTTGATCTTGCCACTACCAGAAAGACCACCATCAACAAAAGCACTCACTTCTATTTTTTTTTTTTTTTGGTCAGGGAAGCAATGTCTTTGTATCCAGGGTTATTTTCCAGCAAACTCTATGTTCTGTGTTAGCAGAGAAGAAATCCAAGGGCAAAAAATCAGCCATTTGTCTTAAACCTTTATTTTAGTAATTTGTTTTAAACTCATTTTAAATGCCATGCCAACAAAACTGAAAAAAAAGAAAAGAAAATGCAAAGCAACTGATGTCGTTGATTGGAGGTTACCAGATAATTATAGCAACCACCACTAAAATTTGTTTTGAGTTTAGCCTTTTCCACAGTCCTTATTATAGAAATTGATATTCACAATAGTCCTGAACAGGAGGGAGGAAGTTTGTCACATTTAACATCCCAAATGTATGAAAGAGGAAACAGATTCAGTGAGGTAAGTGACTTGCCCATAATTAAACAGCCAATATGTTGCAGAAATTGAAGCCCTTTCCCTTTCTACTACTTATAATTGAATAATATCAAGGAAGAGACAAAGAATAGACAACCAGAGGTGGAAACAAAAAGAAATGCAAGTTTATCTTCAAAAGGGGGTGGTAACTACAAGGACAACAGAATTGCTGAACAAATGGCTTTTAAACATCCTTCTGGATCTATGAGTAGGCAGTTGGTCTGATAACCACATGTAACTTAGATCTGTTTCTCTTCCAAACCTAGATAGAAACCATCTCATGTATATATTATGACTTACACTGGGAAATAGACCCATTTGTAGATAGGGCTATCAATCTGCAAATGCGCTTCCTCCCTGTCCAAATTTGGAAAAACATTCAGGTCCATCAAGACATTAGTATTATTGACTCTGGCTTCAGAAGATCAAAAACTCTCTCACCAAGAAGGAAATAATTGGGCCCCTTCTGCTTTGCTAAACGAACAAAGCCAAGCACTTACAATTCAATGCCTCACAAAGGCCTTCTGTGCATTTATTCTTCCAACCATTTATTGAGCATTTTCCCTGTACAATAAAGTTTCATCATTATTTTTTACTGTATCTGTCTAAAAAGAATGTATCTTCAAACTTGTCTCAGAACTGAAAACAGCGGACAGTTCAAGCATTTCTATTTAGCTCTGAAGTTTTCTGTATTTTGGGTTAGAGACAAGCAGACCATTCACTAAAAGCCTTGCCCATTAAAAAATATGCAATGACTGTACACAGGTTTCAACATGCAACACACAAATGGAAGTTTCAATGGGCATCTGTGAGATTGCTGGAGATAAGAAAAAGATACAGACTGGGTGTGGTGTCTCACACCTATAATCCCAGCACTTTGGGAGGCCAAGGAGGGTGGATCACCTGAGGTCAGGAGTTTGAGATCGACCTGTCTGTACTAAAAATACAAAAAACAGCCATACATGGTGGTGGGCGCCTGTAATCCCAGCTACTAGGGAGGCTGTGGCAGGAGAATCACTTGAACCCAGGAGGCAGAGGTTTCAGCCAGCCAAGATTACACCATTGTACTCCAGCCTGGGTGACAAGAGTGAAGCTCTGTCTAAAAAAAAAAAAAAGAACAAAAGAAAAAGATACAGAAATACCTTCATCCTTAGGTAAAAATATAAAATTTATTTTGTTCTAATGATTTATAATAGTTAAAATATACATAGTTAAAATAAACATTGAATATTCCATATTGCCCTCTACAATCACTAACAAGGAAGCAATAGGGAAGGAACTCCTGCATTTTACTAAAAATATACCAAACCAATTTTTTAAATGATCAAAAAATCTGAATAGACATTTATTTAAAGAAAATGTATAAATAGTCAATATACACCTGAGAAGATCCTTGTCATCACTGCTAATTAGGGATATGAATGCCAAAGTCATAATGAGATATCACTCTCACACACAATGATAAAAAAGACAGGTAATAACCAGTATCATGAGGATGTAGAGAAACTGGAATCCTCATATATATGAAAATGAAAAAATAGTACAGCTGCTTTAAAAAAAAAAGTCTGTCAGTTCTTCAAAAGTTTGAGTGTAGTTATCCTAATACTCAGTAATTCCACCCCAAAACATATACTCAGAAGAAATAAAAATGTATGTCTACACAAAAACTCTTACAACAATATATATAGCAACATTATCCAAAATAGTCCAAAAAAGAAATAAATGTATACCTGATTAAATGACACATGAATGTATGGATAAATAGAATATAATTGAGCCATAATGAAATATGATTTAGCAATTAAAAAAATTAAACACTGATAGATGTTGCAACATGGATGAACCTTGAAAACATTATACCAAGTGAAAGAAGCTAGTCACAAAAGACCATACGTTGCATGTTCTTTATACAAAAAGTCCAGAATAGTCATTTGTTTCTAGAGAGAAAAGAAATTATATGAATGCTTGTCTAGAACTGGGGAGATGACTGCTAAGCACAGGATTTCTTTCCTGGATTGATGAAAATGTTCTAAAGTTGATTGTAGTAATTGTCATATAACTCTGCAAACATACTAAAATCAATTAAATTGTTTATTTTGAATGGGTAAATTGTATATTGTATGAACTATATCTCAATAAAGATGTCAAGAAAGAAAGAAGACAGAGGGAGGGAGGGAGCTAGAGAGGGAGGGAAAGAAAGCACAAGGAATTCATGGTGATGGTCTTTCAAAGAGATTACCACAACATTTTTGATATGCATTGATTCCCTTCCTCTCCTTTTTGTCTCTTAAAATGGCCCTGGAATAGGCTGCAATTATGCCTGCACATACTGCCTTGCAAGATGGAACCAAGCTTATACACAGCTTTTCCATCTTTTGTCTCCATGGGGAAATTTTAGATGTTGGGGACTGATGATAGCTTAGAGCAAATTCCCAGCTGGTCACAGCATGTTTGGACTCTGGCTTTCAGGAACATTTGTGTTTGCTACTGTCTGTAGGATTATATCT